GAAGCAAGAATGATTTCCTCATTGATGATGTATTAGCTATGGGAAGTGGTGGAATCAGAATTGGGTTTGACTTATCGTAATTGGACCCGCGTCATAATTGGAATCAGAATTGGGTTGGACTTACCGTTTTAAAAAAAAATTAAATTATCATAATTGGACCCGCATTGAAGAAACTGATTTCAATTTGCAAACGCTGTTTTGCTATGGATTTTATGTGGCTCTCTGCATTTATATAATTCATATATAAGATTTTTACAGGAATTTGACATATAATAAGGTTTCAAATTTTTTTGGTAAAAAATTTCCGATTTTTGGTATTGCCCCATTGGCAAGGTAGAAACTAAAGAGAGGATGATATCTGCAACAAAGATAAATAACAAAAACATAGAGGAATGAGAAAATGAAGCAACACAGAGACGAGAGGTATATAACAGCATGTGTATTATTAAATGGATGGAGGAGATGCAGAAATCAAAATATCAACGTGGTGGAGTCGGCTAGGGTTTCTGGGATGGTCCATGGAGGAAGATTAGGGTTCATACTGATGCTTAATATTTGAAGTTGTTGTAGTCCAGGAAGACTTATTCGAGGGATATAAGGTTGGAGAGGGAGGGTAAGGGGCCGGAGAACTGGTTTTGTTGGAGAGATAAGGTTTTGAGGTGAGGAAGCTGGTTGAGATCGGATGGTAATTCGCCGGAGAGATCGATATTTGGAGGAGAGGTTGATGTTGAAGAGGATTATCTCATTCCATCTATTGGCCCCCAAAAGAAAGGGTTAATTGAATCAGATTCTTGCCCCAATCTTAGAACCATCATTGAGACATTATAGAGATGAGAGAGAAAGAGAGCCAAACGTGATCAAAACCACATTTTGATCGCATAATAAGATCTACAAGATCAAGACGAACACGATGCTGCAAATAAAAGTCACAGATGATGTTACAAGCGCCACCTGAATTTCTGCGCGTAGATCTCACGAGCCCCATGAGGTTTCTCCGGCGAAAATCCGATTTCGACAAAAATCCGGTCACATCTTCGGCGAGCCAAGCCGTTCAGCCAGTACCAGTCGAGTCGAGTTAGAGGGGCAAAACGAAATCAAAAGGGTAAAATAGGATTTTCATATTTAGTTTTTGTCTAAAAGTGGTCCGATGGGCTTATTTGCACCTTTTATTTTATTTTATTTTATTTTATTTTACTAAAAAAATATGAACTAGTTTTGCACAAACCTGGAGGTTTTTTTTGCACTTAACCCCGTTCAAAACACTATTTTCTTTCTCTAATTTCAGAACGACAACAAACTCAAAAGTATAGCTAAAACTACAACCGTTTGTTCCAAAATGGGTCAACCTGTGATACAGAGCATGATATTCTGGCCATTGGAGCACCCCCACAATTGTCAGATTCAGGTGGAATGACACACAATTATAGGGTTCCACCTTGGATTTGTCATTGAAAAGGAATAAAAAGTAAAGACGCCATAGGCGGAGGAGAGAGAGGAATCACGATGAGCAGCGGAGGCTAGTATGGCTTGAGTGGCCAGAGATGACGACGGCGAGGCCAAAGAAGAGAACGAAAAGATGTCGCGACAGGGCTTTTCCTTGAAGGTGGAAACCCCAGTGATACATTTTCTCCTTCTATAATTTCAGAGAGTGGGTGAGAGAAATAAAACATGTATAGATGGGAGACCTAAAGGGACGAGTGTGATACACTCAAAACTCTCTGTCTATATATATATATATATACTCCGTGTATATGTGCATAAGTTACATAATTATTTGCTTCTGTATTGTTCAACTGAATTGTGAAGTTTAATGTATATGTGCATAAGTTACGTAATTATTTGCTTCTGTATTGTTCAACTGAATTGTGAAGTTTAATATATATTTATATATTTCAATTTCACTGTAGAATTCTAATTTTGGTTTAGTTATTGAACTTATTTGGTTCTGTTATGTGATGGGCGTGAATTATCCGATATTGCCGTTGTAAATACACTCCGTACAAAAATAATTGTTTTCTATAATCACTTTGTTAAAAGTGTACACTGTTAATGAAAAACTAATAAAGTGTCGTCGTAAGATTTATTGAAGTTAATTTAAATCTTAACACAGTAAAAAATTGGTTGAAGAGTTGATTTTTGAAATAAATAATTAAAATAAAACAAAAACAAAAACAAAAATAATAAAAGATAAAATATATGAAATTAACTTCAACACAAATCTCATAACAATATCTAATTGTATCTAATATGAGAAAATTCATTTTATGTATGATTATGATTCGTGTGATTACATGCACACAACGATATCGTCAAAAAGATAAATACACACATAACCAAAAGCCAAGTATAACCCATTTTCGGCTACATTACTCTAAGGTTGTAGTACGGTCCGTCTTTCCTAAGCATGGCCTATCAAATCCCTTGCATTACATGCTATGAAAACTATTGCACAATCATCATTCTCATTGTTAGTATAATGAATGATTTTGAGCTCACTCAAGGTATATTTTATGTCTAGATTATGCAACTATCACACATATGAATAAAATTCCCCAATTATAAGCACAATCAGAAAATCATTACTTGAATGTAATTAACATCAATCCCAAATCAGAAAAACAAAACAAATAAAAATAAAATACAATAAATAGAAAAAAACACAGAACGAGCTCCTGTTGCCCCTTCTTGGACTCCAATCTGTGGCTCTTTCTTGATGTTTGAATCCAAATCTTTTATGAAAATTTATAGCTAAAATCCCAAAAAGTCTACTTTTTGTATGAAAATTTATAGTTGAAATCCCGAATCATAATTCTCCAAGAAATATTTTTCTTGATTCTTTTCGTTCCCATGATTCTTACCGTTCCCATAATTATTTCCATTCTCTATATTTCCTCATTCTTTATTTTCATCATTATTCACTTTCCTTTTATATTTATTTCTTTCTGCATAACGTTGACGAGGCAGTGGGACCCGAATGATGAGGTGACTGGCTTGATGACGTGGAATGGCTGATTTGGCAGGCGATTGATGCTTGCTCTTTGTGTTTTCTTTCGGTAGAAAATAGATATAACATTGTGATGTAACATTGTTTCCCACAGCAATTACTCCCCACTATTTTGATAGTCTTTCACCTGATTTAGTCACTTGTTACAAATAACTAAAAATACACAAATATCTACTAATAAAATAAAATACTAACAAATACAAATTTAGGGATAAAATATATAAGAAATATGAACTCATCATTATATGTGATTTATTTTTTTTTATTTTTTTCACAGGCATACAAACAAGAAGCATTAATTTTGTTAGGTTCATACTTGAAATTGAGGGGACATATTTGTTATGATTGAATGAATTTACTGTTTTTGAATTCAATTATGCAATTTTTACTATTGTAAGGTTCATGAATCATTTTAATTCACCATTTCGCATGAAAAAAATCAGTCTAAAAAATTGAGAATTTATTTATTTTTTTTGTCATTGGCAAGAAACTCACACACATATCACTCACATACCAACTTTGCTCTTTTGGAGACTTGAACTTTCACCATCCAGTTTGGGAGGTAGAGAACCCAAGGCCCCTGGTTTGAAAATTTATATATAATATATACATATAATATACACACATAGAGAGTGTATTTCCTTTGCTGGGAAAACTTAACCTGAAAAATATGAGTTCAACTAATGAGTGCATTGAAAAAAAAAAAAAAAACTAATGAGGGCATTTATGTTATTTAGTTTTTTTTGAGATTTTTTTATTTAAAAAAAAAAAATTAATTATACAGGTAGTTTGATAATTGTGCAATAATATTGGTCGAAAAGCAATCCGTGGGGCAAATTGTTCACTTTTAAAATTATTGGCATTAATTTGCTCACTTTAATAGTATATGAGGGTATTTTGTTAACTTGGTAAAACTTTAGGAAATTTTTTTTTTCACTTTTACCTTAATTTAAAATATCATATCTCTGTCCCTCCTTAAGTTAGAGTATCTCCAACTTAAAGGGTTGCTTTGGTTTTTAGTTAGTTTGCTCTTTTGTTTTGCAGAAACCCAAAAAAAAAAAAAAAGAAAAAAAAAAAGAAAGAGGTTTCATAAGAAAAATGTATTAAACATCACTTTTTAGCCTAATTTTATTTATCTTAATTAACATATTGTTGTTGGACTTTGATATACATTTTGAGTGATTTTTTTAAAAATAGTTTATTATTTTGGACGAATATCTCTAATTTCATTTTGTGGAGATATGAACAGCAAAATGTCAATGGCAACATGAAACCAAGCAAACTTTGTGCACATAATTCAAAAAAAGAGAAGCAAACTTTGTACACACTTCCAAGTGTTATTACTTACAACAACTTTTATTCTGAGTTAGGGAATACAGAATTGAATTCATTAATTTTAAATCAGGGAATTTATTTCAAAGTTTCAATTTTCTGTGTCTCATGAATAATATTATGGTAATTAACCACCATAACCCGCCTTTGTATAGTTAACGAAGAAACTGAAAAAGATCAATCTACATGGAAGTTCTCATCTTTTGTTTTGATCTATCCTCTTATGTGAGAACATTATTGTAAATGAAGCAGAGGACATTATAAAAGTTCGTCTTCAAATTATCTCTCTTGAACTGTAGTTGATAAAACAATTTAAATTGTAAAGCAACACCAACTGTTTTTAAAATGAATAATCCAAATAGATTTATTTAGAACATTCAACAACAAATACTGTATTAAAAGACATTAGGACTAAAAATTTAGTATTTTTTTATTGACAAGAAAAACGCATAATTTTTCTAACGTCTGATCAGAATTAGTATCTGATGGATGGAGAGGAAGAATTAGATTCTACATTATTTTTCTAACGTCTGATCAGAATTAGTATCTGATGGATGGAGAGGAAGAATTAGATTCTACATTATTGGGAGTTAAAAGCGTGTATCTGAAGGATGGAGAGGAGAGCCGTCAAAGTCGAGTGACAAGTGCGATCCGGGGCGGTTCAGCACCGGATCCGGACTTGTAATTATAAATACAGTACTTAAATTGGGGAACCCCAAATGTGGACGATCATTCAGCGACGATGGATCATCTGACCGCAACAAAGCTCGATTACTATGAAGACATGTGGAAGTATCAGTCCACGGCCACCTTACTCTCTCACTTTCAGGTTACCTATCAACTCCTTCCAACTATGCTCAGACCTCATATGCGCGCGCACATATGCAAATTTATACACATATATAGATATGTATGCTACGGCCATCGAATTTGAATGAATAAGCTAGGGTTTTTTTTTTTTTTTGCAAGAGTGAGGACGGCGACGGTCGACGTGCTTTAATATTGGACTCCACTATCTTCCACCCACAAGGCGGTGGTCAGCCGGCCGACACTGGTTTCATCATCATTTCTACCGATTCCGACTTCAAATTTGTCGTCCAAGACGTTCGATCCAAAGACGGAATAGTAAGTTACTTGAATTCAGTATACTATTTTTTTTGTTGGTAAGTAAATTTACATTTTTTTAGCTCCTCAATTATTGTTAATTAGTTTATTTTCTGATTGTAAATGCGTTTTTCCTACTTATTCATTATGAAAATAGGTTTTTCACTACGGGGTTGTTGAGAATTCTGGCGACGGATTCGAATCAAAACTCGAGAAAGGGATTGGAGTTCACTTACATGTTGATGAATCTCGACGCAAGCTTAATTCAAGGTATACAACATTTAGATGAAAACTTAATTTGAAAGCTTTGGATTATTAGGAGTATTTGGGCCTACTTAAGATGTATAATCCATTTCGGTTGCAAAATTCAGTCAAGCTCTGTGTGCGTGTAATTTTGAATACTGCTAGACTCTGCATTTCCTTTTTGTGAATTCCACATTTATCTAAATATTGGCTTTCTAGATATCATAATTTGGTACTGCCCCTTCATCTTAGCATTCAACATATAGACATAGTGACTCGTGACTATTTCAAACTGGAAATTTTGATCACTTATTATTTCGCCTGATTATTTTCATTATTATGCTATTTTATTTTGAGATATTGTCTTTATGCAGGCTACACTCAGCTGGGCATTTGCTGGATGCATGTATGCAAAATGTGGGATTAGGTCACTTGGAGCCAAGCAAGGGCCACCATTTTCCTGATGGGTACGATTTCAACCAGTTAAAATAGCAAAAACTTTCAAGTCTTTGGTGCAAATAATATTGCGTAAAGTATTACCTAAATGTAAATAGAGTATTCTAATAATAAAAATCAATCATATGTCCTTTGAGAATTTATTTTGTTTGCACAATGTCTTTAATCATTTCCAGTTTCTACACAAGATTGTCAAAACACTATGGAAACTTGCATGTTAGTATCAAAGATAATTTCAGTGGGTTGAATGCTCTAATCTACATCAGTTTTTCTTTTTTCCCCTTGCACGTAAAATATTTATTATTGTGTTGAATTAACATATCAGATCTTGTAGTCTTTTAAACATTGTCATAAGTCATGGTGAAACAGATTGATCCTTGGCAAGAAATAATTTATGTGCCCATTACCGACGAACGTAATTAGCTTTTGATTGGCCCTTATTCATGTCTCAATGTGTACCTTAGAATGTGTGTGGCAACTCCTTAAAATATTATATAAGTCCTCCAATCCTGTTTCTATATAACTATATGTGGGAACACTACCATCTATTTGTTTTGCAAAACGAACAGTTTCAATTGTTTTTCAAGGAAATGGATCAGAGATTGCATCTCATTAACCAATTTCACTATTGTGTTTTGAGTCATCAAAAGGCTTATTTCCCTCCCCCCCCCCCCCCCCCCCCCCCCCTTAGATGTTTCACCAGAGATTGATTCTATAACTTGACCTAATGAGAGGCTTCACACGGCGAGTATGGGACAGAAACATTGCATCTCAAATAACAAACAATGGCACTACCAATGGCCTAGTGGTATCTACTCCCCTTTCAAAGTGAAAGGTATGAGGTTTGAGTCTCCCCAAAACATTGTGGGAGTTCTTTGCCAGGACAAAAATAAATAAATAACAGACGATGGCTTTGTTTATTGAGCAATTGAACATGGCGTATAACTTGTAAGTCTGAATTTCAATGATTGCAGCTCTTCCTGGCATTTTGATTGATGCTAACAAACCTGATGTGCTTAAACACATTCCCATCAAACATACTGTACATTTCCTGGTTGTCTTTCTGACTTGATACTACCTTTCCGGTCCCAATGGACTCCTGAATGATGTATGGTGATTTTAGATGTAAAGAACTATGAAAGCCCAAGGAAGGCCTCGATTAATGGGAAATCAACTTATTGAAGCCCTAGCCAACCAATTTGGGCCTTGTTGCAATTATTGTTGTTCTTATTAATGATAAAGAAAAGTAATTTTTTTTTTTTTCAAACAATCATCAATCAAAGTTGGGTGAAGTAGGCTAAGATAAAGGATACAATATGTCAATATTTATAGTGTATGATACTGCATAAAGAAATTTCCATCATTATGTGTTTCACAGTTGACTGTATACATGCATCATGAATAAAGCACTACTTTAAGCAAATATTTTCCAGAAGTTTCTTTGACTATTATCATCAACACGGCCTTTAATGAAGGCATCTGCTCCTTGTGGTTTCCACTGCTTTCTTTGGATAGGTTCCTGATCATTGGTTTACTTAAAAGTAGTGTAAGTGAAGGTTCATTCTCTTTCTGCACATGTGGTCACTTCTGGTGTTGCCTTGTGTTGCAATCATAAGTTGAATCCTCAATCATAAGTTCAATCCTCAAGAATCATGTCAAATAATTTTTACTTATTGAGAGAGGAAAAAGAATACTTATGAACAGAAAGTGAAGTTGCAGTGAGGAAATAAACATTTTTTTGATAGGTAAGAACACACTCACTCACTATTGTCTCCAACGGGGATTTGAACCCTCAATAAGTAAGTTGATGACTGATCTCTTTCTTGCCCTTTTTAAACATCTGGAATATATAGTAAGTCCTGCTTTACCATATCGAGACATGAACTTATATTCATTTGCTGACCTGGTTTCTTGGAATTAATATTTATGAAGTTCACCTTATTGCCAGGCCATTTGTTGAATATAAAGGCACAGTTCCACCAAATGAATTGCAAACTAAACAAAAGGAGTTAGAGCTAGAAGCTAATAAATTAATATCTGTAGGCGGTAAAGTATGTTAATTTACTCTCTCTTTCTGAGTGACTGCTTATTTCTCATGAACTATATTTTCTGAAATACTTCCATGTTTCTGTCAGGTGTCTGCAGCCATTTTACCGTATGAAGAAGCTTCTGAGCTGTGTGGTGGCTGTCTTCCTGATTATATCCCCAAGGTCAGGATTGAAAGCAATCTATAAGCATTCTCTCTTCCCATCCCGCTGCATAAAGAATACACTGTCCTAGTAGAATGGTCAGGGACCTCAGGGTTATTATGTCTCGGTCAGGCCAATGGTAATGCCTGTACCAAGTCCCCCCACTCTCACCACTTTCGAGTAACTGGACTAAATCTGGAAATGGCCTTACTGATGGGTGCCAAATTTACATGGGGAGATTGGTGGGCCAGACACCCCAAGGAACCATGTATAAGAAGTTAAGGACATGAAAGACCCGTTAGATGATCATGACCATCCTTTTTTTTTTTGGTTGGTCGACCATCCCTGTCCTGGTATCACTCAGGATTACATTTTCTGTGCTCACTCATAAAAGAACATCCTAGAGTTATATGATCCCATCGAGTCAATCAGTTTCTTGGTTTGAAGATCCTTATGGGAACATGCTATGGCCTCAGGCCTGTCATCGTAAATTGTGCATTTTCAATTTTTTTTTTTTGGTTGGATGTCACTAATCTCTAATCAGAAAGTACATAAAATAAATCCAATTTTAGGTTTTGACACTTCAATCAGAGCCTAACCAGATAGCCGAATTGTTATTTGGATAAATGTTACTTGAAGCAAATTCTAAGGGAGCAGCTGCAGAAAGCAAGCCCGATATCTCACATTAACGGAGCTTTATGTATATAATGTTGTAGAAACAAATAAATGTAATTCATTAATTCAGTCTTGACATTAATCTGGTTCTCTTCATATTTTGTTATCTTATGGATTTTGGATCCTCCAGTTTCACAAATACGATTTGATAAAGATTTATCCTTTGCCTACTCTTGCAACTCATGCAGGGGAGCACTCCTCGAATTGTGAAGTTAGGGGACAATCCTGGTTGCCCTTGTGGGGGTACACATATTCCTGATATTTCAGAAATCATGAACCTGAAGGTATTTATATTAATTCATTTAACTTCCAAATGATATTGGTTAATGTTCACTGCATGTAATGGTGAGCTGTGAAGAATCTTCAAATCTATGTCCCCATATTCTGTTCAGAATATGCTGTATCTTCTTACTTTGCAAACCTATGAAGGAAGCAGTTCCCGATACTCATGGTCAAGATGATTATGGGCAAGATGATTATTACATCCATTCCATAGGCTTCGTGCCTAATGGATGACTTCCCTTTATATCTTTTATTATCCCTTTCCATCCATTGTTTAAGATGGTTTCATCACCTTGAAGTGCCACCATCTGTAATGATTATGTAGCCTTTAGGTCAATGTATGAACTAAAACGGAATCATGTGTGTTGATTGGCCTTTGGCTTCCCCTCCCCCTCCCATTCCCCCACTGTAACAGGAAGGTAGACATGGCCCACATGGGTGTTTTTGTTCCTGAAGATGTCCGACACAACTGTGCAGCCAAGGGATGTGGTTTATACATGAATATGAGGTGTGACAGATGGCAAAAGAAGCCAAAATAGAAGTCTTCTATCTATAACTTTTTCATTAGACAATAACCATAACATAGTGTCAAGCGGAATGATACAATTGTGGTCATAAGATTTATCCAGACAAGATGGATTGAAACAATGCAGTGGTTGTAATGTGTGTGTGTTTAATTTTATTCTACAAGTACTGCTCATGGGTGTTGAGTTACCTAGAAGTCTTGTGAAATGTGAACCGAGATCTAGTTCAGAAAACTAGATTGACAAGATTAAGTAGGTGATAGCTGTCCTCTATGAGGGTCTTGCTTTTATTAATGTTGGACATGCTTTTGCATCCTTAAAATTTTTTTGTTTCTTGTTGGTACCTATTTTTATGCTGTTGTAGTTGTTATTAGTAGTACTGTTGTCATTTTTTTTCTCACCAGCTGTGGTACGTCAGGCATTGTTTTTCCCAATAGCTGTGGCACTTTAGCATTTTTTTTTTCTCAATAGCTGTGGTACATTATCACAAATAAAGGTTGTGAAACCCCATCTTTTGTGGCTTCATTTTGTTTCCTAATGCCACTGCTGGATTGTTGTAAATATGTTCCTTCTTTTAATAACTCGTTCTGATTTCTTGTCCAGGTTTCTCAAATTCGGACAAAGAAGGGACTGACAAAAGTCTTTTACAACATTGGATCCTAAAGGCTATATCTCGAGGGTATGCCATTTCCGTAAAAGCATATATTATATGAAAGTTTCTCTGTGATGCACAGTTCATGTCTGGCCTCGCTTCATTTCTCTACACTGTTGTAGAACATAGCAAGATTATAAGGTGCATTGGAGTAGCTAAGAAATCCCCGTGTTTTCAGTTTGCTATTATATAGAATCTGTTACTGCTTTTGGTTACTTGGTCTCCCTCCGAACCAAGCATCAACCATATGTCATATTTAGCACCTCTATCTTTTCTCTGTTGGTAGGGAGCTCAGAATAAAGTGGCAGCTTCAATTTACAAATGGCCTGTTGATTCTACCCGTTAGTTTCCAGTCACCATATGCTGTTGCAATGTTATAATCTTTATTGACAAGAAAGTCCCAACATTATGAAAGTACAATATAAATTATACAGAACTGTGAAAGTATTTGAAGTATGTCGGCTATTTGTATATGGTTTTCGGTATTATTTAGATAAGTGCAATGCTTTGACGTGGGACTGGAAAATTGTGGGCTACAAACTGTATGCTATAAATGGTAGTATGTTTAATGAAACAATGCGATGATTTGAACCTGCACTGCTGATTTTGGATTTCCTACCATTTTATTGAATTCATGCTAGACGATATTGGATTGAACGGTGGATGTATGTCAATCTATCAATTCACATATCGAGCTCAAATGGACATAGGACTAAATGCATGCATGGGATTTTGACAACTGACACAGATAATTTCCTGGATAATTCGAAGCGACTATTCGTAGCCACATCCTCACGACTACGAGGCATTCATGTATTGAATGCTGTTGGTTTGTATCAATTCTGTAATGGGAATTTTAGTGAAGAAATTATGGATGGTAGGACTAGTTCGGGATGGTGTGTTCGTGTCTCAGGCTGATTACAAGCTGTCACGCAACTTTTAAAAGTTTGAAAAATTTCTCGTGCACGGCGAACAAGTTGCATGTGTCCACTGGGTTCCAGTCCAGTGTACTAATCTGGTCCACGTATAAGTTGCATGGCCCCACAGGGTTCCAGTTTGAGGCTCCAATCTCCGTGGCTGTCCTGGTCTTGTGTCCCCACTTCCCAGCCCCCACCCTATACAGGCTTGTACCGCATGTAAGCTTGTTTATGGTCCGCGAATAATAGAATGTAGTAAAAAAAAAGACAAAAGAAATGGAATCCAATGTATACATGGTATCTCAGTTTTTCTATCCAAAACTAGAACCCATTGCTTTCAGGCATTTAGAATCCTCAAAAAGTTGTGGCATTTTGAATTTGATACAGAAGTCAATTTTAAACCACTGAAGCTATATCTTGATTGCATTAGGTCTAAATTAATTTTGATGACCACTCAAAATTGTTATTAGAATCCAATTCTGCGGACTGGTAGGTTACTAAGCCAAAAGGATCAAGTAATTTAAAATTCAAGATGCTAAGGGCTTGCCAAATTTCTGGTAATAAGTTTGGTACTTAAATATTGATGGTGACAGACAAAAAAGTGGATATTCTTCTTTTATGTGGTATTGTTTGTATACTGATCATGTCAAAATAGAACTTACCAAGTCCCAATTATAACTGTATTTTGTCCATATAGTTGGCCACAATGCCTCACCTCAAAACCTTCAAACAAAGGTTAAAACCCAATGAATAAAAGAAAAATGAGATATTTTTATTTAATTTTTAATTTTTTTTTCTTCCTGGAATTATATTAGAACTCCAACAAGAAGTTAACACATAAACCAAACTAATTTGAATATTCTCTAACGTATGCAATCAGAATTCTCATCTCTTCAAGAGTTTTAATATAAAATAAAATAAAATAGATGTATTTATAATAATATTACATGGATTTAGACATTACCGAAATCAAACAAAATAAATGAAAACTCTTTCCTTGATTTCAGCTATGGACATAAATATATACCATTTATTTCATTAAATAAAATTGTAGTCTCACCTCAAATTCAACCCATGAAAAAATATATATCAACAAATAAGAAAATATGTATTCATATTGTTTTTACATTTTTTTTTCCCTTTGTAAAAATAATAATAATTTTTAAAAATATTATAGGTCTGCTTCCTAATTGTACGTGGCAAAAGAAATAAACATGTATATATAATAATAAATGGGGTTGATAGGAAGTAATTCAAAGAGACTATTTCGCATCCGTAGTAGAGTCCAATTAAAATGAAATTGGATGGCGGCACTTGCTGGGCCTTGGCAAAAAAAGACCGGTTTTGGTGAATCGACGACCATTCGACCCCAAAATCTGAGCCAAGTATAAATTCCTTCAAATGTTTCGCTAATTTTAGCCAAGTCTCTTCTTCACCATTCAAATCAGATCTAACTCTCACACCATACCTGACAGATTCTCCTTTGCTCCTCTGCTTCGCTCACTATATGTATATATATATGTATAGTCTCTGTATCTATGCATTCTATATATAATTCACATTCTTCACTTATCTTTCTCTGTTGATCTAGGTTTGCTTTTGGAGATTCTTAAAGGTTCGCTCAGTTTTCATCACTCTGTTTCAATTGCTTATTGTGTGCTCCAAGTTCTGATGATATATTAGTATTATTTGACTTGATGATATATATACATACACGTATACAGTATTTATGTTTGTATATTGCGTTTGAAATTTGATCAGATAGCGACTCCAGTCTCTACGTAGCTATTTGATTTTTGGGTCGGAAATGTTAATGTTTATACTTGTTCCTTTATCTCTTTATGCTTAGTAGTTTGATTATTTCAGTTCGATTCAATATTTATTTTTATTTTTTATATTTATCTCACTGTAATATATATTGATTCATCGTCTTAGTACTCACCAATGAACTTAATAACTTATATTAAGTAAAATCAGGGAAACAAGAAATAAGCTTTCTCTCTCATCCATCTTAGATATTTATCATCAGTTATGATAAAGATGAGTTTGTGATGTTCCGAGAAAGTCATTTCTTGTTAAATATTATGCTATTTGTTTGGAAAATCGAGTATGAATATATATATATATATCTGTTAATCTCCCGTGTCGATCCTAGAGTCCTTGATTTCTCGAGTGAACATTCCAAAGTCCTTAGCTATGACTATTAGGAGTAATCAAATTTCCGAGAAAAGAAGAAGAAGAAGCAAGGAGTTATCAATTTTCTATAGGGGTGCACATGGTCGGTTTGGTACGGTTCTTACCGGACCTGAACAACGGTTCTTAAAAAATTAGAACCGGAACCGAAATCGAAATCGGTGGGACATAGAACTGAACCGTGAAGACTGGTGTGGTTCCACGGTTCTCATTATAAAAATTAATAAAATAAGTTGTTTGCTTTTTTAAAAAAGAATTATACTTTTGATATGTTATTTAAATTAAAGCATAAATGCTTACTAATATCACATTTATTCCGTTAATTAGTATGTCTAAGTCGCTTTAATAAACATTCTTATAAACTCTAGTTGCAAGAACCAAACATTTTGGGCTAATGAAGTAATGATCAATAGTATATATATATATTGTATAAACATTGAAATAATACTCCCTTTGTCCCAAATAAGTGTCATGCTTTCCTTTTTTGTCTGTCCCAAAATAATAGTCCCTTTTCCTTTTTCAAACAATATATTTCACATCTTTCCATATATGTCCTTTGAGTTTTAAATTTCAAACTTGAATATTCAAAACTTAAAAGGGCAAGTTAGTAACTTTTTAGACAGACAATGCATGTCCCATTAAAAATTACTACTCCCCCATAAACGACACTTAAATTGGGATGGAGGGAGTAATATATTAGAAAGAGTTGAAGATTCAGAATGCATTAAACCACTCTATATTTGATCCAAACAATTATAATATATATTATCATTATAGTGTATAATTTAAAAATAATATATATTATATACACAATATATAACTGGTTTGGTCCCAAAGGGTCTGAAACCAGAACTGAACCGAAACTCAATGGTTCCAAAATTTTGGAACCGGAACCAAACCGCCGGTTCAGTTCGGTTCGGTTCTCCGGTTCCACCGGTTTTTTGTGCAGCCCTAATTTTCCATTGTGCAAATCTGTATTCATTTTCTTTATTCTAAAAGAGGAGTTTTAAGGATCTATATCAGCATTCACCTTTCAAATAATCTTGAAGCTTTAATTATGAATCATAAACTCTATACTTGTAGAAATGTTTTAGTGATTAAATACAACCTTATTGCTAAAATTGAGTAATGATACTAATATAGTTTTCATTATAGGCGCATTTGTATATGCCTATATAAATGATTGACATCTTTTATCTTTTAAGGAAAATGTGTTGGTTTATTTTTTAGTAAATGTGTTGTCTGGAAAATCTCAATACCTCAATTATCCATTAGAGACTTACAAATTTTGGAATTTATAGACGTCCAACAAAATTGTAAAGCTTGTGTAAATTTCTGCATCTAAAAATATTTTCTGAACTTGTTTTAGTTATACAGATGTATGTGAGTCATGTGATCTTACAATTGATATCCACACTGGGCAAGCATAAATTTGATTCTTCATTATCTACACATTTCTTACTCTTTCAATAACTTCAATTACACAGTTTTCCCTACTTGAGTGATCTTTTGTTTACTTGTCCAACTTGGCCCATCAGACTTGGAAATCTAAAGGTCAAACACACCACTCGGAAGACTATGACTTTTGTTCCATTAAAACATCAGGACAATGGTATTGGACTCCTGAAAAAATCTCCTAGTGAGCTCAAACCCACAGTAAGATCTACTTGCAATGACCATGATATTTCTGATTGTATTCCTCGAGATATAACCACTAAGGCTGACACTAGCTAAGTCAGGATGAGTATTAGAGAAACCAACATCTCCAATTATTATCTCCTACTTATATTGATTGAAGTCTCTAATAAATATTGCATGTAGCCTCAAGAATTATATCTTATAAGTGAATTGTTTTATTCATGAGATTCCAAGTATTGTTTTCCCCAGTAAACTTGGCTTCCCGAAAGTGATCCCAATATCATTCCATCTATCGTGTTCGTTAATTTTTTTTTTGGTTAATTATTGTTATCTGGTTAATCATTGGCAAGAAGCCACTCAATTTGATTCTTTGAAAATATTTATATGTTTGGTAGAAAATTTTGTTTTATTTGTAGCAACTATTGCACTAATGCAATGTCATAGTTTTTCTCTATTAAGGAACTAGTAATTTAGATATTTATAATGTTTCATCCACAGATGATGCTTGAAGATACAACTGATGACCCAAGCAGAGAAATTAAAATAAGTTTTGGTTATCAATGTAATGACAAGATAGGTAATTGTTGTGACTTGCATGACGGCTGTGAAATCTCACCTGGATTTAAGCTCCAGAGGACTAGCAGTTCCTTCTCTTGTTTATCTGGGGCCGCCTTAAGTGCAAATGCCACATTGGCTAATACAAATATCTGCAATGGGTTAATTGGGGCAGAAATACTTCCAACTTTGGACTCTCCTAATTCATTTAGGAAGATTCCCTCTTCACCCTCCCTCTCGAAGTTGGATCTACTATCATCTTCTCTCCACAGTAGTATGTCAAACTTAAGTTGTAGTCCTTCCACTCCGAGTGGGCCGCCTGAATATGATTCCTTTTTGTTGAAATCCATGAGTGCTCCTTCTAGAAGTGAAGGTTTTCTTAATGCTATGGAAGTACAAGTTGCAGGTGGCGCTGCTGGTGAAGACAGAGTTCAAGCTGTTTGTTCAGAAGAAAATGGGTGGCTTTTTTGTGCAATCTATGATGGCTTCAATGGACGAGATGCAGCTGATTTTCTGGCTGGAACGTTGTATGAAACCATTGGGTTCTACCTTAATTCATTAGACTGGGAACTGAAGCAAGATTCTATTGGATCATCTGATTGTTTGTGTCGAGATGGGTCCCTCCAATATATTTTGGAAGATAGTACTACCAGCCATGGTGGTAAAATTGCTCCAAGATATGGTAACGAGGATCCATTTATTGACTATTTCACCCAGAGACCCTTTGGTGTTAAAGTGGAAGGATTATCTGGCTCATTTAAGCATACCGTGCTTGATAGCCTGCAACGTGCTCTTAGTCAGGCTGAGAATGATTTCTTATACATGGTTGAACAGGAAATGGAGGAGCGCCCTGATTTAGTGTCTATTGGATCTTGTGTCTTGGTTGTACTTCTCCATGGAAAGGACTTGTATATGCTCAATTTAGGTGATAGTCGAGCTGTATTGGCAACATATGTTGAAGATGTGGATATGAATGAGAACAGAAGGCTGCAAGCCATCCAGCTCACTGACAGTCATACAGTGGACAATGAAGTTGAAAGGACCCAACTTCTGTGTGATCATCCAGATGATCCTACAACAATTATAGCTGGAAAAGTTAAAGGAAAGTTGAAGGTCACCAGGGCATTCGGAGTTGGTTATCTGAAAAGGGTAAGAACTTTATATTGTGTTTCTCTCTATAATTAGATCAGCAATCACATTGCATCTCCTTGGTGTACAAAAGGATATTCCATACTTCAACCGAGTAACTAACAAAGACTAGTATTAGTTAACAAAATTCAAGTTTTTTTTTTTGGTAAAAATTACTCGAAGTACGAGACATGAGGACCATAACTGTTTTGTTTCCTAATTAATTGGGAATGGTCTACGGATAGAAGAACTGGACTGCACAATCATTGGATCCTTTGAACTATACTGCCACTAACAATTATTTACTGCATGAAGCAGTCTTGGAAGGGATTCAACACAATTGGGCAGATTCTCATTTATATACTTGTTATAGCAAAATGGGCAAAAGAAGTTTTTCTTTTGCAAATCTTATATCCTAAAAGGTTAATTGGTGTAAGAGGTATACAGCAATACATTTGTTTTGCTCATAGGGAAAAGTTTACAAAGTATATGTGATTAAGAGACATCACCAGGGGCAAAAAATGATCTATGTTTGACATGTATGTTCCATAGGTTGGAGCTAACTCTTGAATTGCCCAGATGTCATTTTAACCCATATTTCACTGTTGTTTCTGTAGACTTAATTCCTCAATGCCATGTAAATAGTTATGATTTCTTTTTGCAGGAAAAAATGAATGATGCTTTGATGGGAATTCTTCGAGTTCCTAACCTTCTAAGTCCTCCTTATATCTCCACTCAGCCATCACTGAATGTCCATGAAATCTCAAATTCTGATCACTTTGTTCTACTTGCAAGTGATGGCTTGTTCGACTTCTTCAGCAACGATGAGGCAGTAAAGCTTGTTCATTCTTATATATTAATCAACCAATCTGGTGATCCAGCAAAGTTTCTATTGAAGCAACTTGTAGCAAGAGCGGCTGATTGTGCAGGTACAACCCTAGATATCAACTCTTAATTTTATAGAGTCATTGTCTCAGTTATATGATGAAATAGGTGTTGTAAACCGTTTCTGATCTTCACTTCAATAATCACATATACTATTTTTTGATGCTTCATTCGACAGTATTGATGCACTATGGTTCTTCTTATCATTTACCCTAGAAACAAATTGAGCTAGGTGGAAATTCAGATATAATTTTCACATATGATTCTTGTAGAACAGTTGATAAGAGTAACAAAAAGCACTTCATACTACCAAATCTATTTTTAATGTCAGCATATTAATTTATATCCACGTCTTAAAAGAAATTAGTTTCTATTTCAGGTTTCAGCAGTACGGAAGAATTAATGAGTGTACCAGCTGGTAGGAGAAGGAAATATCATGATGATGTAACGGTAATAGTAATCATTCTGGGGACAAATAAACGCACATCAAAGGCATCAATTTGTGATCCATTTACTCTTCAATATTATAATTAATATTTATTAGGGTAGTTCTTGGATTGCATTGTTCTCTATTAATTTTTTTTTTTTTAATGCAATGCAATGAACCCTTTGTAAATAATATAATAGTTTTATTTTTGGCATCAACGTGGAGGTGGGTTATATATTACTGGTGGGTTATATATAATCCATTTAGCTGGTGGGTTATATATATGATCCATGAATCCAACGTGCAGGTGGGTTATATTTGATCCATTTAGCTGGTGGGTTATATATGATTCATTTATTGGAATAAATAATATAAAAGTTTTTGTTTTTTTTTGCCTGTTGTTGGATTATATTAGTTTTTGTTTTTTGCGTGTCGTTGGATTATATTAGTTTTATTGTTTTTTATATTAATTGACAAGCTTGCAATTGGAAAGCATAAAATGAAAGTGAAGAGATAAATAAAATAACCCAAAGGGCTACATCACTTTGATAATACTCTCTCAATTCATATAAAATACAATCACTTTGATAATACTCTCTCAATTCATATACAATACAATGGTGGAAGTTCCTTTATATAGGAGAAGAAATTATGAAAATGGAAAGAATTAGAACATAGGAAACAAGGAGGATTTTTCTCCACTAATTCCTAGCAACACCAAATTTTCAATAATGGGAAACAATATCAATTACTGAAAGATTTCTCCACTGATTCCTCCATTAAATCTTCAAGTGTGAATGATGAAGGGAGAGGAAAGAAGACGAAGAACAATGTTACCAAATACACCAGTAGTCCAAATAAGTCCACATAGCACCGAACACATGTCGAAAGTTACGAACAATGATACCAAATACATCGGTGGCCTAAACAAGTCAATAAAAACTACCTGAGCTGCCGAAGACACGACAAATGCGAGGAAAATACTGCCAAACACACCGGCAGTCCAAATAAGGCAATAGATACCGTTGCAAATATGGAAACGGTGAACAACATGCTACTAAACACACCGGCAGCCCAACAAGGCAAAGGACAACGCTACCGAACACACCGGCAGCCCAACAAGGCAAAGGACAATGTTACCGAATACACCGGTAGTCTAAATAAGGCACAAATAGCACCGAGAGACCCTTAGCACATGTCAAATGCTAAGGGGATATCCCCAAATAAGGGGTCTAAACCTGAGAGGAGAGCCTCCCTACACCGGAGCGATCCATCCGAGAGATGAAAAAGATCCGAAATAAAGTTGGAAATATCGCCAGGAAAAAGGTTGTGCAATATTCTCTTTGACCAAAAGAAAGAGCTCCAACGAAACAAAGACCTTAAACAACCCAAAACAGAGAACTCCAATAAAATCAAATGACGAAAGAGAAATCTTAAAAATCAAATATGAAATCTTAAAAATATATTCTCTTGGACCAAAAGAGAGAGCTCTAACAAAATAGAGACCTTAAACAACCCAAAACAGAGAGCTCCAACAAAATCAAATGACGAAAGAGAAATCTTAAAAATCAAATATGAAATCTAAAAAATGAAGGGGAGGATGATGGACTGCCATCGAAGATGAGACTTATGCCGCCATCTCCACGGTGACTCTGATACCAAAAAGAAATCTGAAAAAATTGGCACAAAAGTCCTAAATATTAGTCTATAATAAAGACCCAATAAACTTGGCACAATCATCAAGTCAACTTATAGATATAATTTTCAACAAAAACATCTTAAACCACACTACCATTAATTTTCATTAAGATACTTGATTCGCAACTTCTTTTATCTACCAAGCTCTCATATCTTTCTCTTTTCCAACTCAGCACTCATATCTATAAATGAAACTCCTACTATTTATATAGAGATCCTCCCGCTACTCTTTATCTAATCTACAATTCTAAATCACTCTCTACTTTTTTAGAATATTTTTAAGTCTACATATTACTAAAACTTTCTTTAAATCCCTAACACTCCACAATTCTCTAAATAGTCTGATTCGACTTGTTAGTGGTCGTTGCTCTTTCGAGTGGTTAAAAGTAAATTATATAATTAATATTGTTTATTGGTTTATTTATTTATTAATTTATTATATAGTGATTTGATACGCTTAAATCTTAATAATTCAAAACTGTCTTGTTCTTCAAAGCAATATTTGAAGAACATGACAATTCCACCAAAATTAAGTGCCCAAAATACACACACAAAAGCATCTATATCTAAAGATGTTCAGTGACTCTATATATATTGTGGCTGAAAAACAAACTTGTCTCGAATAAGAGAAACAAAAGGCATAGGGAGTATTTGAAACAAATGATTCTTTTTTAAAGGAAAACTCTTAATTATAAACCCAAGTGTGTTTATCATGAGTAGAAGATCAATAAATAAATAATCCATTGTGTAGATGATTTATAACTTCATGCTACTTAAAAAAGTAACATGGTGTTGGAAGAACTAAAATGGCATTGCTGTAACATGGTGTTGGAAAATCTCCAGACAAGCATGACCTTTTTATAAATAAATATCAATTTATTTAGTCAAACCACGTGAAATGAGCAATTTTGTCTTCATTGTAAGATTTAAGAATTTACTTTCTCCCTTGTGATCCAAAAAAAAAAAAAAAATTACTTTCTCCCTTGTGAATGGTACAACCAGTATTATCATGTCTTGCCTTTAGATGCAACTTAGGCGGGTTGATGACCTACTTCTCACTTGTCTCAATATCTAACATTTTCAACCCTAATCCAATTTAACTCAACCCTCAACCTAACCTAATCAACTAATGCCCAACTCATCCCTACTTTTATCTCTTTTGAAGTCTTGCAAATATGGTTGAATTTTCTAAGTTTGAATTTATTGATATTTCAAGTTATAATTCGGGTTGCTATATTAACAAATAGAACAACCTTTAACTTTTTCATTATTAAAATAATTGAAGATATATTGGCATGCCATGATAAAAAATTAATAAGTTCAATATGTTATTTATGTTACAACCAAATGAACCTATTAAATTCCACGCAGCTAACATAAATACATATACATATATAATATATTAAAATCTATGAATTGGATTTTATTGGATTTTGTAATTGGAGACTTGCTTGGATTGAATTTTAAATTGTCCGACATAATAAGTGTGGCCTAAAATGAAATTGGATTTTTACTTTTCAATTCAAGCACAGATCGAATTACAACTTACACAGTCCAAACTCAAAAACTTTTAAATTGGTCCAGGTTGAACCATCCTAATTACCCTGGCCAAAGCAAGATTTTTAAAACATCACAATTCCTCCAGATTTAGGGGGGCAAAATTGAGTGCCAAAAAAAAACTAATCTTCTATATCTGAAGATGTCCAGTGACTCTTTTGCAATGGAGAAGGATGCATATAGATCTTTTGTGCCTCAAAAACAATATTGTCTCAAATAAGAGAAATATAAAAGGCAAAGGGAGTATTTGTAATAAAAGATTCCTTTTCAAATCTTATTATAAATTTTATCAGGAATAAAATTTCAATAAATAAATTATTCATTTTTATAGATGATTTATAATTTTATGCAATTTATACAAAAGAGGTCATTCCACCCAATAAACTTAGCGGTCTCATGAAATTTAAACTTTTGGAGAAATCTGTCCCGGCCAATCTAACACTTGATGGGGTCATCACATGGTGGGACCCGTATTGGAGATCTCCAACCATTTTGTGCCTTGTGTCAGTAAAATCAAGCCAAAATGTCTACTGCGCCTCTTTACCCTTGTTTTTTTTTCTTCTTCTTAACCACTCTTGTTTTTTTGTGAACTACTTTTAACCACTTTTCATTCTGCAATTTCTATTAACATTATCTACCTTTTTTTTTTTTTTTTTTTTTTGGGTAATTAAAATTCTCTAATATTTTCATCCATGAATGTGTAGTATTCAAGTACAAAGTTTTCCTTTTTAATAAATGAGCCAAGCCAACTTGTGCTTTGTTTAATTGTCAACTATAGTTCTGATAATTATAGCAAAGAATTGATTTTCAATATTAAAACATACAGATATGGACCACTGAAAATATGAAATCTACCCTCTAAAGAAAAGAGTGGTTGGAGCCCACAATACATATTATTTACATACTACAAAAAATGGATATGGAATTAAAAAAAAAAAAAAAAAAAAGAAATTCAAGATATAGTTGACTCTCTCCACTTAATCATCATAGATCTGCCACAAAACTTGGCTTATTCTACCAACCCAAAGGAACATAAAGGAGGAAAAAGATTACGTTAGTAATTAGTAAAACAATATAGTGACAATACATCATTCCCAATATAATTATTATTTTAATGACAAGAAATGTTTAGAATAGATGGTCCCTCAAGTCTAAGATGTTAGGTACCGTAAACAAATGTCTTGTGGCCTTGTAAATATATTAAAGTTTTTTTTTTCAAATTAATAATTTATTATTCTTGAAATACTAGTAGTAAAGAGATTACAAGTTTGCAAAGTAGTTACAGAGCGGATTTGCAGTAGTTTTGTTATTAAAAAATAAAATAAAAATCTATCAACTTTAAAATATTAAATATTACGATCTATCCTTTTAATACATTAAAAATCAGTACAATATTATGAAATACATCATCCCATCCAAGCAGATTTATTATTTTATCTTTGTTTCACAACACACCACAATAACTTGGAGAACTACAATAATTGCCAATTTCAAATTCTTTCTAAGATATAGGATTGAAACATATTCAATGAAACTCCTCTTTTTATAGACACTCTCCCTATGATAGGTTGGATACATGGCCGTCCGTGGAACACTATTCTAAAATATCCAAATATTTACAACTTACCTTACTCTCTAATTTTTTTTTTAGAATATTCTCTATCCTACACATTCCTATAACTATCTAAAATCCTCCAACATTTCCAAATTTTCTAAATGTGGAAGACTTTACCTTCCATCCTCTCATTAAAAATATGTTAAGAAGAGGCCATGCAGAGTCTACCCATTCCTATACATTTCCAAATTTTGTTTGCATTCTAAGATTTAAGAATGTGAAGTGCTTGTCGGTGCTAATTGACCTCTCGAGTTTCTAAAAGTGAAATTACTGTTTGTGCCATCTATATTCTTATTAGTTTACAGTATTTATTTATTTTATAGAGATGATGATGCACTTAAATCTTAATAATTCTAAACTGTCTAAGAATATGGTGTATCTAATGATGTTCAGCGACTCAAGTAAGAGAAACAAAAAGCAGGGAGTATTTTAAATAAATGATTTTTTTTATATATATATAAAAAAAAACACTTTAACTATAAACCCAAGTTAAAAACACTTAACTAGCATGAATAAAAAATCAATAAATAAATAATCCATTCCGTGGACAATTTATGAGTTTTTAGCAACTTGAGCGAGAGGTCGTTCTGCCAAAAAATCTAAACATAGGCATCATGAAACGCAAATCATCATTACTACTCTAAGATAAGGCATGGTTGTAAAATGGTGTTGAAAACACTCCATACAGGCATGGCTTTCTATTACTTCGAATTATTTTTCAATATCAAAATATAGAAAATAATGTATTTTCAATATCAAAATAGATGTATATTAAATCTACCCCTTCAAGAAAAAAGTGAGTGGTTCTTGCCCACACAAGACCGTGTGTTGCATATTACTTACCTACTGAAAAAATATATATGGTTACAGAATAACTATTCCAAAAAATAATTTAAAAAATTCATCGGGAATGAAATTCAAGATATACCCGACTCTCCCCACTTAATCGTGATCATAGATCTGTCATAAAACTTAGCTTATTCTACTACCAAAAAAAAGATTATGCAAGTAAAACAATATAGTGGCAATACATCATTCCAGTATATAATTATTTCATAATAAGAAAAGGCCTAGAATATATGGTCCCTCCCGTCTAACGTTTATATTACATTGCACAGTTCATATCATATTTGAAATTTATGCTTGATATCAGTAAAATCAATTGCAAAAATTAGGCCAATTTTAAAGCATAACAATAAGTTCTCTTTGCACCATTGAAAATATAAATAAAGACATACAACAGACGACGATCTGTCCTGAACTAGACGATGATGTGGCGTCTCTTTTAACTTAGGAGCACAATGCACAACATTCACAAATGGTGTCATAAATAGATGATTGTCTAAAAATTTATAACAATGCAAGGAAAATAAATCTACTTTTCAGTTTCTTTACCAGTATCCTCTTCAGCTAAAGCTTCGACTCTCTCATCATTGGCTTCAACCTTGGAGCCTTCGTTTTGTTCAACTTTTCCTGAAACATCCTGCAACTGCAAGAGATTCAAGATAATAGATAATGTGATTGCATTGATTTTTGAAAGCATACAAAAATGTTGGAAAATAAGATGAATTCCCCGAGGAAACAAATGCTTGAAAATTGCTTACCCCCAGGTTTCTTAAGCTGGCAGTGACATCCTCCTGCTGCTGCTGGAGAGTAGTCTTCAGTTGTTGAAAATCCTAGTTTCAAGCAAATAAGATAAGCGTCCTAATTATTTATATTTTGAATATAAGTTATAAGAGTGCCACTCACATATCTAAGCTGCTCCACTTCAACATTCAGTGATTTCTTGACTTCTGAAAGCTCCTGCATGGTGCAAGGAAATAGAATCAGAAGAGGAATTTGTTTTCATAAGTTCAATCAGCAGGAGCTAGGAGTGAACCATTTTATGTACTAATAAAAGACACTATACAACAAGCAAAGACAAGAAAGAACGAAATAAAATCTTATTTATATTTTGCTTATTTATTACATGTAGAAACCACAAAATACCTGGTGCTGAGGGCGATAATTCAGCTCACATGAGACACAGCATGGTGACAATTTGAGAGAAACAAGACATTTTTAAGGCAATCCTAGTAGAATAGATACCCAAGCATTGGTGGGGTTGGAAATAAATGAATAAAAAGTGACAATATACTGTGGATATAACATAGAAGGCAAATTCTTTACTGAAGAAAAAAATAAAATAAAATTCATTGAAGCCAATTTACAATGGCAAGTTATTTTACTGGACCAACGGCCACTGATTTAAAAGAGGATCACAAATTCCAGAAATTCTTGATTACTCAAAGCTTTCAATAGTAATATGACTGCAAAAAATTCACAAGACCAAGCATGCAGCTTGCTGACTGCATGCACCCTTCACACATGTGTCACTGGAATAAAGATTAAGTTCAATCACCACCTAAGTCATCCTCAGTATGCACCTAGAGTAAGAAAAGCATACTGCAAGCTTTTTTGCTTTCACTACACGGCTCTTTTGCCTTTAATATATATAAAATAATGTGTTAACATATCTTATGTTATCCATTCCTTTATTCTTCTAGTATCACTTCTATCTTTCTATGACTCACTTTCCATGTAAACAGATTGGAGCTTAACCAAGAAAATTTTCTTTTCTTCTTCTCCTCCTCCTTCTCTCTCTTTGTGTGTGTGTGTGTGTGTGTGTGTGTGTCTGTGAACCTTGCTGTCTTCCCTATTCTTTCATGATCTGAGCATGCACATATTCTTGAACATAAATTGAAACTTCAGATGTGAAAATCTTATAACTCTTTGAGCTGGATATAATTTTAAAATATTACATTTGGAGTTAAATTGGTTTTTGTTCTTGAGGGTTCTGGTACCTTTCTAATGTTTCCATCCCCTATGGTAATTCTGCATCTATTAATATTTCAACATGGTAAGTGGTAACTGTTTTTAACCAGTCTGAGGATTAGACTTCCTGACACTATTTTAACCCTTTGTCTCTTCCACAAATCATTTGAATGTAAAAAAGAAAGGTATGAAATTATGAATAAAGTGTTTTTCAGACATTAACTAGTAAAGAAAGGAGGGTTAATTTCACTTTATGAATGATGGCCTAATTGTTTTGTTAGCTGATGTAGTTCAGAAAAACTTTTCAACCCACAGTTGTCGTTTTTCTACCAGAAATTGCGTTATTAAACTGTGAAGTCTAAAAACTTCCAGAGAATTTAGACAAGTGTCTGTCCTTAAACGATGATGTTTAGTCCAGCATGTTACACCTACAAAGATAAGCTTAGTGCTTAGTGATTTATCTCACTTGTCATGTGCTCTTCTCATGTTCATGGTCTCATTTTCATCACACATACTGTAAAGGGCAAAACAGACAATTCAACTACTAATTCTTTAGCAAATGTGATTCCCAGCTTTATATCTGCAAAACCTAAGGTGACATTGGGGTGAAATGATAATTAGAGCGAAGGCAATACTAGGAAACAGCAGTAGAACCTCTATGATCGTAAACATATAACAAGAACCAAAATGAACTGGAATTGTCGTCACCAGATTCTTGTCAACCCTGAGAGATTAAGAAACAACTTACAATTTTCCCACAAAGTGTGCACTCTTAACTATAAGGTACATCACTGAATTTGAATGTGAAATTTTTACTGTGAAAGTACCCAAGCAAGTAAGGGTAATGAATCCTTTACATCCAGCTTTCCACATCTAATTTTCAAGATTAAGTGATAATATAATAGATGGATAGCGGGCATATGCATATCCTTTTTACTAGGGACCTGCAGTATTCTTAGCTCTTGAATTGCTTAATCCACCATATATGGCTGCCTCTTCCACTCTTACATTTATATGCAACTTTTCAATTTCAATTTTTTGTGAAATTATCAACCGTCACCCAAGGCTCTGATTTGGTCAGAGTGTGACCATTCAATTGGACCTAGAGAGGAGGTCTTGTGGATATTAGCTTGAATTTTAACTAACTTTTGAATTGTCGCTGATACTAGTTAATTATACTATTCAATTTCATCCATGCAATCACACAAACACTAAAAGAAATAGAGAGAGCAAGGATACAAGAAATTTTAGTGGAAACACCAAAACAGGAAAATATCACGGAACCCCCGTCCAACCATGAACAATCAACTATATAATAAAAAGGCCAAAACCAGGTTACACTAAACTCTCCACTCAATTCTCAAGGTTGGAGCTCTGTCAATAGATCCACTACTTAAGCAATCTACTTCTCCATGGTTGTTCAATCCTTCTGCTCTAATATTGATCGTTTGAATTGCACTTGATAGTAAGCTGATGATCTCCTCGTAGTTGAATACTCGATCACGTCTATTGGTTAGTATATTGAAAACCCTAGGATTGAAGAACAAGTATTTTCTCTTTCTAAAATAAGGCTTCTATTTCAAGAACTTGGAGGCTTAATTGGATATCCTAAACTGACTTAACCCCATGTTTATGTATAGGAGACTCATTTATATGGTGGGTTGAATCCATTTGAAAATCTGATTTAAGAGATCTTTCAAAAATGAACTTTTGCAAGGTTCGATTGATCGAGCCATCCTTTATCACCTATTGGAGTCCTCTCAATCGATCAAGGCCTATTGGAATTCAATTCAGAAACTTTGAAAAAACTTTGATTAATCCATATATCAATTGAGGCTTATAGGAGCCCTTGATTGATCCGTGCACACTATTTTCCAATAAATATCAATTTTGAAAAAATTTCAGCAAACATTAATTTGAAAACTCTAATTGTAAAAACAAGTTCAGAAGAAAAAAACAATTTAAGCCGTTTTAAGATCAATTGTAGGTCAACTAAGGTCTATTTACTTGTGACCTAGATGTGTGATTGAGTTAAACGGATTTTACGCCATGTTCTTCGCAAATCTTTGTCTCCAAAATCTTCAACAGTTGTAGACAAATGGTTCTGAACACTTTGACACATCACAACCTTTTGTGTACGAAATTACTAACACATGACACTCATTCCTAACAAATCTTTTTAAACTCTGAATAGTTGTTCAAAATTGTAGTACCTATTAATGATTTTGCTGCGTGATACAGACTCAATCAATTCCAATTGAATCTTAACTTTGTTATTATGTCTATGAAATTCAAAACAGAATCCTAAGGAGCTTGCAAGTTTTGAAATATAGTTCATTCAATTTTTATTTCAGGATTTTCAGCTAAAATTTTCATCTAAAGAAATGATTCACATTATTAAGATTCAAAATCAAATAAGTGGACTAGCACGGGATAGCACAAGGGAGATTAATATTTAAGTTCTACCAATTCCAGTCAAATTTTTCAGTGCATCCAAAGGTAAAGAGAAGCTGAAACAATATGCAATAAAAAAAAAAAATGCTATCAGTGCATGAAACAAAACATAGCATAAAAATTGATGATACAGAAGACAATTTTTCATCATATAGAATTAGCAGCAGCCACTTACATTGCGGTAGGTCTTAACTTGAGTGTCGAGTTTCGACCTCCAACTTTGAAGGTCCTGAAATGAATGTGAAACAAAGATTTATTTATAGTTTTTACCAACATATAGATATGGGAAATAAACTCTTCAATTGCACAAATACAATTGCATACATATATATATATAATTTGGTATCACCTGTTTAAGTCCTTGAATCCTATTGAGAAGCTCCGCCCTTGATTCACTCAATTCCTGAAAACAAAAGCATAACCACATTTGACAAAGATTTTAGGTAAAATCAAACAATGCGATTTGGTAATATGTAACCTAAAGCGCTCAACGTACAGAGATTTTTGAGCTCATAGGCGTTATGTTCTCCTTCTTCTGCAATTTCAAAATAAATTAAATATATATAATCATCAGTATATGCAAACACGAATAACCAGATAACAATCTAAGCAAAACTTAGAATCATCAGTAAAAAAACAAAAGCAAAAAAAAAGAAGTCATCAGTAAAAAACAAAAAACAAAAGCAAAAAAACAACAACAATAACAACAGCAACCAAAAAAACCTTAGATTGATATATACACACACAGTAACTTGGAGAGAGGAAATTACGGAGGAGAGAGGAGGAGCAACGGCAGGGACTGATGATGTGGAATCCGAGTTTGCCATATCAGAGATGATATAACGATCGGTAATGTAGATTGAGAAATCTAGGGTTTTCAGTTAACAAAAAATAAATCTGGGGTTTTGGGTCTGATTGAAATGTACGAATGTAGAGATGATAGAGGCAAACTAGTTGTATGTTTGAAATGAGGGGTCAAAGATAAGAAGAAGCTGAAACTATGGTATGAATTTGGAGAGAGAGAGATTCAAATATTTGAGCTGTCGGTGATGTTGCGTATTTGGGCGGGCGAAATGTCTGTGAAGAAAGACTTTCTTAACCCTAACACTGTTATTAAGTAGGAGTTATTAATAAAAGGGAGATCCACTTTCCATTTTTACTCCATCTACACAGCACTTGTATTTAAATTACGTAGTATATAATTTTGAAAATTACTATAAAATACTCCGTATTGTTCTTTTGAGAGTTATTTTGACATTTCATTTATTAAAATTATTACTCATTTCGTGTCAAAATAGTTGCCTATCTTTCCATTTTAGGATGTTCCAAAAAAACATGTCCTATTCCAAAATTGAATGTACTATTTTTTATAATATTTTCAAACTATCCCTTTAACTAAACAACTGTATTAATTAATGAGCACTATTTTATTTTTTAGTAAGGACAGATTTGAAATTTCACTCTTATTAATATAATAAAAAACTATTAAAACTCCATCACCATCAAAAGTTGAATTTTTTATACAGAACATGTATTGTGGGACGGAGGGAGTAAAGTGTAGTACGTGTAAAAATATAGAATGTGAATAATTATTAAAAGAAATTTTAATTTATAATTAACACTTATATTTTTACTTTTAAAACTTCCATTGCCTAAACTTTTGAATCTGGCTCGTGGACCATGAATTTTTTTTTTTGGGAAAGTTAAGCAACTGACCTTAATATTAAAATAATTACAAAGTTTGGGGCCAAAGCCCAATTACAAAGTAAGTTAAATACAAGCCCAATGGGCAACAAGGGCACAGGCCCAACCAAGTTCAAATGTGTCTCCCATTAATTTCCATAGAATCGTTAATGGAGAGAACTAAGTCAATTCCGGTGAATGATTGTAGCCGGATTTTAGCCGGATTGACGGCTAACTTGAATGATCCGGAGGACGAAGTGGTGGACTACAACATGATGAAGGTAGATTCCAATTCCGGATTTTTCTTTTTTTTTCCTTAGCAAACAAAGTGGACCACACGTGAGTTGCATGATTAAGCATTTGGTATAATAAGGTCACAATCTTAGGGTCCGTTTGATATAGCGAAAAAGAAAAGAAAGGATAACATTAGTTGGGAGGAAAAATAAATAAAAGAAATGACATGATAGTATTAGTTAATTGTTGCGTTTGGTTGATTAATAAAAAAAAAGAGAAAGGAAATGATAGTAATCATGTTTGGGGAAAGAAAAGAAAGGAAACTAATGTAATGAATTTACAATTATACTTTTTTTCATAGAATTTTTCTCTTATAAATATAAGGACAAATTTGGTATTAATAAAATTTCATTAAAAATATTAGCTTTCCTTCCATTTGTGAGAAGATAACAAAAGTTACTGTTTATATGCTTTAGTCTTTCCTTCCAAATCCCTTCATTTCCTTCCATTTTCATACTTTTTATTTTCTTCCATTTTCTTTCTTTTCTTTTTCTCCATTGTACCAAACTGAGCCTTAATGAGTTCTAGAAGGGTTCGAATTGCAATTCGTCCGCGAAGGAGTTCAAATTCCACCGCAGTGTGCTTTGAGTCGAAAGCTAAGAGAGTTTTTTTTTTTTTTTTTTTTTTTTTTGGTTAGTTAAAAGAAAGCTAAGAATATTGTTGATGCTTTGTATGGTGCAGTCAATATGGTTTCGACACTTCAATTTAGTTAAGAATGAGCTACCTTGTTTTCATTTCGTTGGACATAAAACAAGGTAGCTCAATGAAGTTGAAATTTAGGCCTCCGAAAAAATGGTTGGTGAGATAAAATATATATATAAATATATATATATATATATATCTCGTATGCTAAAATTTTGGTCAATGACACTTAAATTTTGGTCAATGATACTTAACAGATAGCTAGCTAATTATTCTTTCTAATTTCTATTAATGTTACTAAGTGGACCAACATTATTTAATTTTGATACAAATACTAAAAATAAAATAAGAGAAATTATAGGCTAATGGAATAAAAAATGATATAGCCGAATGTTTCAACAACCTATCATCCCTTGAGGCATTTCTTTCTTTTACGTAAAGAAGAAGGTGGAAAAGAAGAGTGGAGTATTAAACTGTTATACCATTGAGTTGGATGCTTTTTAATATTAAAATTATTATGTAACAATAAATTTAGTTATTTCAAAGTAATAGAGCAAATTAAATTAGTAAATACTCCAATTTGAATCTTAAATCCGTGCATTAGTTTATTTAAGAAAAGAGTTTTTCCACAAATATATAAGAGATATTGTTTACAACATGTGTAAATTATCTCAATATTTATTTCATAATTTCAAAGGATGGTTGCATCAAAATAGGTGAGCTAATGCAAAACAAACTTGACTCAAAAAATAAAATAAAATAAATGATATATACAGTATATATCTTCACTTGACATAAAGCAATAACAATTTGGCTTAGGTGATATTAGAACCATGACACACACAGTAACCTTACTTTGTGAATTGTGGTGTACCATTGCAAAATTGATGATCCAATTTGACATTTGGCCAAATAAAATAGAAATAAAATTAAAAAATTAGGTGGAAAGGTAGGTTAAATCAATTGGTCCATGAGCTTTCACCTAATAATTTCTTAAACATGAACACGAAAGAAAAAAAGAGGCATGAAATGAAATTGATCCTCCATAGATAGCAACAAAGAAAAAATTAATAAAAATTCCCAATATAATAGAATCAGTGACTACATTGAATCCTAATCAAGTAGCAAAATAACAACAGTATTAATTCATTAAAGAATGAAGAAATTAACTTGAAAGAAGAACACAAACCCCCATATATTTTGTACCCACAAACCCAGCAGATGGATTATAGAACAAGATTTGAAAGAAAAAAAGATTTGATGATAGAAACCCTAGAACGGAGGAGGCACACCCACACCCATGAAGGGTCTTCCAGATGATGAAGAGGTGTCGCAGTTATGAATTGTGTCCTTCAACTTGTGAAACCCATCTTTGAATACCCCAAATCCAAACAGAAAACCGATCACAATCACCACCAGTATTAGGCATGTGCACAACATGCAAATCTTGCTCCCACAACACATCTTTAATTCACTCTCTCCCTACAAATATATATAATGGACTCTGTTTGTGAAATTTTCAGATCTAAAAATATATATATATATATATATATATATATATTGAGGAGACGAGACGAGAGGAGATTAGGGTTTGATTGTGGCAGAGAAGAAGAGGAGTCTAGGCCGGAATTCTATCCATCTCTAATAAGTGAAGTGTGTGTTAATGTGTCGCTTTACAAACAAAAATTAGATGCTTATCTATCCAGACATGTTAGACAAATACACTTACTGTGTCTCGGACACTATATCATAGGTCGCAATTTCAGTTTGTTAATCTTAGAATTACTTTAATTACATTTGGTCACTTACTTTACTTTTATTTAATTGAAATTTCATATTTTATTAAAATATTAATTTCATTAACACTCTTTAAATTTGACTAAATCTCTCTTTCAAATATTATTTAAAAATAACAATCATTTAACTCCATTTTCATTCTTTTTTTGTCACCATCTCAGTTAAAAACATGTAAAAAAATAATTTTACCACTAATTTTTTAATCTCTATATCATTTTACTTAAACGACCATTATTCCTTCGTTATTACACCCAAATACGACCACAACCCACACACCCACCACAGACTCACAGCCACCACTACCATTTCCACCTCCACAAGGATTACCACCATCACAGTATGATGAACTTACTTCTCTTAATTTCGGAACTAACCTAACCAGATTCACAATCTGGTATAAAATCAAAAACATATTCACACACGTGTGTTTGATTAAACCTAATTTATTTTTTTTCACTAATTGAACCTAATTTCACAAAACAAAGTCGGCATCTCTAGCTGCCCTGATGGCATCTTCTTCAACCAAGCCAATGTTCATCATGCACCATACACAGATATCCACTTGCGACATGATAAATATCATTCGATCGGATTATTTGACTTAGGCTCGAGGCTCTCTGTGTGTTGACATCTCGAAGACGGATGATGAATTTAGGCAAAAATTTCTTCGTTTTAATTTGAGTGGTTGGGTTATAGAAATGGTGGTGGTGGTGGGGAGAGAGAAGAACTGTGTTGTGGTGGTGGAGAGAGAGGAATGGTGATGGCGGTGGTGGTGGATAGAGGAATGGTGGTGGTGGTGGAGAGAGAAGGAGGAATGGTGGTGGTGGTCGAGAGAGGGAGGAACGGTGATGATGGTGGTGGTGGAGGGAGGAACTGTGATGGAGAGAGATAGGAGTATATATGTCTGTGTGTAATATATATATATATACACACACTCCATCTTTCGCTGGTTGAATTAGGCCCTATCTATTTTCTTTCCTAATTGGCTCTTTCTATATATTATATTACTTGATCTTAGAACTCTGTGTGTGTGTGTGTATAATTTGTAAATTTATAAAATTTTAAGAATATTTTAGTCTTTTAATATAATTATTTAGATTAAAGAGTTGTTTTGACAAAATTAAAAGATATTTAATTTATGGCAAAAAAGCATAAAACCCCCCTCAAGTATTAGGAATCAGTATAAAACCCCCTTGAACTACAAAATCGAGCAAGTCAGTCCCGAAACTATCAAAATTAATCAGTTTTACCCCTTGGCTGTCCTTTCCAGCTCATTTCTTGTACCAGCATTGTACATTTACAAAAATGCCCATTATAATTAACATTAAAAAAAAAAAGCAAATGAAATATAATTTGTGAAATACCATCAATACCCTCACAGTCATGTACGGCTTATATTGGTAAAATTCCTAAGTGAAGATAGTGACTGAGTGGTTTTGAGTTCTTAGAGAAGAAAAGAGGAAGGGTCGCGATGCTAGGGTTTGTGAGTGTGACTGCAATTTAGGGGATCTGAAGTACGATTTCTAGGATTTTGTTGGGTGAATTATTGAACAGTGTTGAGGAAGAAGAAATTGTGTTTGTGATAATCAATCGTGGAAGAAGGATATTGTTAGTACACCCTGAACTACAGAATCGTAAGTGTTCTTACTATTTTGATGTTACTTGTTCGTCACTTTATTTATTGTTCGTCACTTTATTTATTATTTTGATGCTATCTTTATTATTTTTGTTTGGTACGGTTATTGAATAGAATGTTCCAATAAGTTCCTAACAGAATCGTAAATATTCTTACTATACCAAAAGGTTGATTTTTCTTTTAAAATCGTCACTTTATTTATTATTTTGATGTTATCTTGATTAATTTTGTTTGGTACGAAGTTTCTAGGGTTTTTGACTTTTGTGTATAAATAGTTTGTACTATGTGACCATTGAGATTTTGGAATGAAAGAGCGTTTTTTGTCTTTTGATTTTTGGTAGGGTTTGTGAATTATTTGAAGCTTTTGTGAGTTATTTGTTTTTTACTTTTTTAGAACTCTGCGAGCACAATATTTGAGATACTGGCATGCATGTGCAATTTTTTTACGTGTATTTAAACAGTACCCTTAGATCTATTAAACTATATTAGACCCCACTATCTATTGTGTTGTGCTTTTGGGGTTTGTTTCTTGCTTTTGGTCAATGTATTGGAGTTATTGTCACTGTATCCTGTGAATAGATATAAAGACATCATTTACTATTGTTAGGTCATTGTCTTGTGGTTTTTGTTGTCCCCACTATGTTCCCTTTCAATTATTAGTTGCCTTGTATTTTGTAATTTTTTTTTATTTTTTATTTTTTGTATATTTTTTTTTTACAGATAATGCGCAGGTTTGTTACTCTAGAAGTTCATTTTGGAGGATTTTTTCAGTGCACACCCCTTAAGAGTTATACAAGCGGCACTGTGACTTTGATTCATAATGTAGACCTTGATTTCTTTAGTTTATTTGATCTCAATGAGGTGGTTAAGGATCTTGGGTATGATGAAAGGAGTCAAATATATTATAGGAATCCAATGGTGGCCAGTGATGAAGGGATTAAACAAATAGTAAAAGATGAAGATATATTGGGCTGCATTAATTGTCATCAAAGATTTAGTTTGGTTAAAATATTTATTATTTCTCCCACTACTTCAATGGTTGATGATGTGGAGGAGGAAGCAATCAATGAAGAGTGGGAAGATGAAATCCTAGAATGGGCTACTGACGCAGCAAATGGTAATGTTGACTTACCAGTGAACAATGGTGAGGTAGAACAATTAGCTGCTGAGGGATTCCATGCTGTGACAGATGTGAAAAATGAAATGGGACATCAATCTATTGACATAGAAGATGACAATAACCATGGGAATGTGGCTGAGATGGAAGATGAGGTGGTGGAGCTTGAACATGTTGATATGGAGCATGATAATGCTACTGACATGGAAGATGACATGGACCATGGGTATGTGGCTGAGATGGAAGATGAGGTGGAACTTGAACATGTTGACATGGAGCATGATAATGCTACTGACATGGAAGATGATACAGGATATCAATCTGCTGAGGTGGAGCTTACTTTTGCTAATACTGAACATGTTAATCCTGAAGTGGACCTTGATCTACATGACAGGGAATTCAATTTTTCTGACATTGAGTCAATATATGCTCCAAGTGATGAGTTTCAAAGCTTAAAGGGTTCATCTGAGGATGATGATGAGAATGATGTTGGTAACCTACAGAATCCAAGGGTTAATGGTTTTGAAGTGGGAAAGAAATATGAATCTGCAGAAAAGTTTAGAATGGACTTGAGAGCTCATGCTATTAGTCAGAAATATGATATCAGATTTGTCAAGAATGAGGCAAAAAGAGTTACTGCTAAATGTGCTTCTAACTTTGGGTGGAGGATACATGCATCCATCAACTCTGAAGATGGTAGTTTTGAGATAAAGACATTTAGATCAACTCACTATTGCTCTTACACTAAAATAAACAAGCAAGCTTCTTCAAGTTTCTTGGCAAATAAATACATAGAAGCCTTGAGGGATGAACCTAACTGGAAGACTGGTGCAACGAAGAAGGCAATTTTAAGGGATTTAGATGTTATTGTTACACCATATAAGGTTTATAGGGCAAAGCTGAAGGCAAAGTCACATATTCAGGGGGACCATGGGAAACAATTCAGTAGAGCTAGAGACTATTGTCAGTTAGTTCAAGCCACAAACCCTGGGAGCATTGTAGTCACCACTGTTGACAGAGCAGCACTTGAAGAGCCTGCAAGATTTGAAGGGTTATTCCTTTGCTTTGATGCAATGAAAAGAGGTTTCTTGGAAGGGTGTAGGCCATTCATTGGAGTGGATGGATGTTTTTTAAAGGGTCCTTACAAAGGCCAACTGTTAAGTGCAATTGGAAGGGATGTAGACAATGGGATTTTCCCTATAGCTATTGCTGTTGTTAGATCTGAAACAAAAAAGTCATGGAAGTGGTTCATGGAACAACTAGAGAAGGCTTTGGGTCCATTACATCGATTTACATTTATGTCAGATAGGCAGAAGGTATTTTTTTAACTTTTAATTTTATTTATGTTATTCTAATGTATGTTTGTTTGCATGTTCATTTAATTAATATTTATTTTATTGTTTCTTTAATAGGGATTAGTTGAGGTATTTGAAGACATGTTGCATGGTTGTGATCATCGATTTTGTGTGAAGCACGTGTATGAAAATTTCAAAAAGAAGTTTAAGGGGGTGAAGTTAAGAAATGAGATGTGGGATGCATCACGTGCACTTACCGAGAGTGTATTCAAGTATCACATGCAGATTATAAAGGACATTGATAAGGATGCCTATGAGTGGCTTGAAAAGGTGCCTCCTAAATTATGGTCAAGACATAAATTTGATGATAGTTCTAAGTGTGATTTGGTTGTCAATAATCTTTGTGAGATATGGAATGACAATGTTAGTGATTCGAGGGATAAAACACTCATTACTATGTTGGAGTGGATTCATGGTTATGTGATGCATCGCTTTCAATCCAAAAGGGAGTGGATACAGAAGGAAACTGGCTTGTTGTGCCCTAGTATAGCTACTGAATTCAATAAGTCAATGGATGACTGCAGATATTGTACTACTAAAAAAGCTGCTGCAAATATCTTTGAGGTTTATTATAAAGGTGTTAATGAGACTGTTAACTTGGATAAAAGAACGTGTAGTTGTCGAGAATGGGATATAAAATGTATACCATGCATTCATGCCATTGCATGTATACTTTTAGAAAGGGGGCAACTTGAACGTTATGTGGACAGTTGTTATCATAGGGAGACTTATTTGAGGATATATAGCCCTATAATATATCATATGCCCCTTAGGCAATTGCAAAGAGAAGTTGGCACTAATCTTATACACCCACCCATTGTAAAACCTGTAATTTAAAGGCCTAAAAAAGTAAGAAATAAGGCAATTGTTGAGGTCAGTAAAGTTGGTGTAGGTAGTAGAAAAAAGAAAAAGCTGAAATGTGGTAAGTGTGGGGTAACAGGTCACAACACTAGAACGTGCAAAGCAACTGAGGCAATACCTAAGACAAGAGGTCCAGTAAAAGGTAAAGGAGGTAGACCTCATCTGCCTGTTATTTCTGGTATACCTAGTGTACTTCCAGACAATATAGATGTAGTTGTCAGAGAAAATGAAGGGCTTCAAATAGGTACTGGAGGTGCTGCAGGTTGTGCAAGAGGAAGAGGGCCTCGAGGTGCTACAGCTTCTGCAAGAGGAAAATGGGTTGGAGGTGTTGTAACTTCTGCAAGAAGAAAAGGGGTTGGAGGTGCTGCAGGTTCTACAAGAGAAAGAGGGGCTGGAGGGGCTGGAGGTGCTGCAAGAGGCAGAGATATACTTGATAATGCAAGACAACTGCATGAGGTTCAATGGTTAAATGGTTTTCTATTTTCATAGTTTTTAAAATATGTTATACCTAAGATAAATATTTTTGTTGCATAGGTGACTTCAATACCATTAAGGTATGGGAATATGTTGAATAATTTGTCGCAATTCTCATCAGTTGATCTGAATGTGTTATGGAGTAGTCAAACATCATCATTATTAGGAAGGTATATCTCTTTTAAATAATTTCCATTGTAGTCATCATCTTCATCTTTTTTAATTGATTTCCATAGTAATTAAACATCATCATAATCATCATTTTCATCTCTTTCCTTATGGCAGACCTACTACAAGGGACCCAAGACTTTAGCCAACATTGGGGATAGATGGTGGCAGACAACTTTTTTTGGTGTAGCTCATGGACTTATTAATGGAAAGGAACAACTTTTGTTTTTTGGTGTCTTTATGGTACTTTAACTATTTTTTGTGTCTTTATGGTACAATAGCTGTCAGTATACATTTTGGGTGCACTTGTATGGATAAAGACACAATGGCAGTAAGCTAGTATAGATTTTGGATGCAATTGTTGGAGCTTATTACTAAGTTGGTGCACTTGTATGGAAAGGAACAACTCTGTGTTATTGGTTTGTTCAATTTTTTATGGTACAATGATTTATGAGTGTGGTGCATCTGTAATTGCAGTTTGTATGCCTTTTATTATTTTGCTAGGTTACAGTGACTATGGTGCATTTCTTGTAGTTGTGTTACTATGCTATGTCTACTGCGTGTGTTGAGAGTTGGTATAGGTTTTGCAATTTGTGTTACTATATGTATATCATAGTATTACATGATAGATAAGAAACAATTGCTTCAATTATATTCATTAAAAAAATATTCCATTACAATTATATTTGATTTACTAACCATACAATTAACATCATGATACCACAAGATATAAATCCTAACACGAAAATTTTAAAATTAGTGATTACATTGTTTTTAGTCGTGCTACTTGGTATAGGTTGTGCACCCACAAAATTCATATTATCATTAATGGGTAAATGTTGCACCTCCAAGTTCATATCTAAATTTCGCATCCCAACTTCTGCTCTCAAATATGATATTCTTCTCATAGCCATCCTCTTTCTATCTGGTTCCAATTAAAATCTCTTTGAAATTCATTGTGTTGGGGATCTATCCATCTCAAGAATCCACAACTCCTCATTGGATAACTTCCACATCCGTAGAACCTCCGCCTTAAATATGCCGTTGTTGTTGCTCTTCTCAAAGGAGATCTTATTCCACAATAGCAATACAATTCTTCAGGCATTCTATCACAATAAGATACATTCTTCGAGCTTCTGGAGGTCCTAGATGGTTTTATATACCTACAAATAATTTACACAACTTTATCAATACATGTTCACTATATAACTTTAAGAAAATACAAATTTTTATATTAAACAGTAAACATATATCTACATATACATATATATATACGTGGAGAATATATATATATATATATATATATATATATATATATATATATATATATAACACAAATACCTTAACTTCTTCAAACTGTGATGGAGGAATTTGTAGGACTCGGTGAGGGGAGCTGTTGTTAGAGGAGGAAAAAATGAGGTTTGGAGCCTATTTATAGAGACAGGGGTACAACGGTCATATTGTAAGGGCAGTTTTGGAATTCTATCAAAAAGTAACTTCACGCGCTTCATCTGTGCCGAAAATGAGCCGGAAAGGACAGCCAGGGGGAAAAACTGGTCAATTTTGATAGTTTAGGGACTGACTTGCTCGATTTTGTAGTTCAGGGGGGTTTTATACTGATTCCTAATACTTGAGGGGGGTTTTATGTTTTTTTGCCTTAATTTATTGGGTAAAGTATAGCCACACCTCTTGAGGTTTGACAAAAAGACACTCAGAGGAAATTTACCTGTTTTTTAGACAAAAACACCCCTTGAAGGTTCAAAATGAAAAAAGACACCCCTTTACATGAGAAATTGACCAAATTACCCTTTGACCGTTTATGAGACTTTTTTAACTTTACAATTTAATAAATTGGACCAATCTACCCTCATGAACAATTTATGCATAAAAAAATGTAAAATAAAAAAATAAAAAAAAAGTTTAGTTTGCAAATATCATACATATATATATTGTTTAAATTAGCTCAGTGCAAAATAGAAATTTATTTATTTATTTATTTCTATTTCTATTTATATATTTTTTATTATTTTTTAAAGGCAAAATAGAATGGGTTGACTTGTACAATTTACATAACTCAATTTATATGCATTCACTTACGGGTGGCTCAGTCGAATTTTTTTGAGTAATGATGTGATTTAAAGGTATCTCTTGTTGGAATTATTATTATTATTATTATTTTTAAGGAAAAACAAAAAACAAAACGCAAAATCTATTTGCACGTACTCACTGTGTCAAACACTCGAACCATGTTTTATTTTAGTCAAGTAAAAAAAAAAGTTATAGTTTTGATTTTTTTTTTTTTTTTTTCCCTTTTTGCTGGGGATAGAAAAAAATTGATATGTTAACTCTTTGTAACTTTTTGGATGTGGATCAAAGCATCAAAATCATAAGCATGAGGAAAAATTTATAATTTTAATCATTATAATACATTTGAGATAAGAAGAGGTATAGTATTTTTTTTTTATATTGGGAAATTCATAATATTTGATATATAATTTAAGATGTATAAATTTATAGTGGTACCAAATTTTTTATTTATAAGGAAAAGAGATTGGTTTAATTTTTTTACATGAAAGAATTAAGCAACTTAATTTAAAAAAAAAAGAAAAAAAAAAGAAGTAATAACAAAATATAATTTATTTGAAATGTATGTATTGGATCAAAAAATCATTTTAGATGTCTACAATTTTAAAAAGTTGGGACATTTATAAAGTAAATAACAAAAAAAAAAAATTACTTTTTTTTTTTATGCATAAATTGTTCATAAGGTTAGATTGATCCAATTTATTAAATTGTAAAGTTAAAAAAGTCTCATAAATGGTCAAAGGGTAATTTGGTCATTTCTCATGTAAAGGGGGTGTCGTTGTCTATTTTTGAACTTTCAAGGATGTCTTTGTTCAAAAAAAAGGTAAATTTTTTTTTTGAGTATTTTTTTGTCAAACTTTAGAAGGTGTGACTGTATTTTATCATAATTTATTTTATATCATGTTAGAGTTATTCAACTAATAATTAGAGTTTGAGTGAAAAACAAAACAAAAATTTATAAAAGTAAAATTAACTTTTATTGAATTACTTTAAAGTTTAAACGCAGCCGAAAAAGGAGTTTTTGTCTCCTGTCAACTTTTGCTTTTTGATAAGTCAAAGATAACGAGAAAAATGAAAATTTTATACACAACCCATTTTGTCAAGTGGGATTTTGATCCATACAAGAAAAAACGACGCCGTAGATGGAACTTTCTCGAACCATTTCCCATTTAAAAGTTGCCCTGTCAAAATAAACACCGTTTCAAAAATTAATAGAAATGCTTAACTTCGCCGGGAAGTAGAAAAACCACTACAGAATAACGGAGTATGAGTGAGGATCTCTCTTTCTCTCTCTAAAACTCGGAGATTGACTCGGTGAGCCGGATGGGTCAGGAATCGTTCATATACAGCTTCGTGGCTCGGGGCACGATGGTGTTGGCCGAGTACACCGAGTTCACTGGCAACTTTCCGGCGATTGCGACTCAATGCCTCCAGAGACTCCCCTCCTCCAACAACAAGTACACATACAACTGCGATCACCACACTTTCAACTTCGTCGTCGAAAATGGTTATGGTAAATCCTCGTTTACTTCCCGATCTCTTCCTTTTCTAGTACAGTCCTGTGCATCTTCTCGAGAAACGAACATGGTGACTGTGGTATTCCAAGTTAGGGGTAATTGGATCTAGAAATTTTTTGAGGTGGGTCGAAGTTAGAGCTTTTTCTATTTAGAAACTAAAAAGTCTAAAACCCTAAAACACAGAAGGGTATATATGCTATGCTCTGTTCTGCTGCGTTATTAATGTTATTTGTGCTGATTTTTAGCTGAATTGCTGGGAAAACTGGTGAACAATAAACGAAAATAACAATTGGTGTTGGGTCTATCTATTATATTTTGTCTGTTCTGGCTTGGACAGAAGTGAAAAGCTAAGCTTAATTTAGCCAATTAGTTGTATTGTGCTGTTTTAGAGTTTGGGATTTGTATTCTATTGGGTTGCACGACAAATATCTTTATTTATTTATTTTTTTTTCTGCAACCAAACAATCTATATGTTTAAATGGATTCTGTGATTTATATCCAATCTAGCTAAGATTTGGGCCCTTACAAATATCGGTTATGGCTTGAAATCTACTAGAGATCTTTGACATTGAATTGCTATTTGAGCTGTTTTAAAGTTTAAGCAACTGTAAAGTGGGGTGGCTTAGAGTTGGTTAGTTGGATTGATTTATGAATTTAGTACCTAGATATGCCTAGGATCAATTAATTGATGATAGATATACTGGAGGTATATACTTGGGAGCTATGTATTAAGGGTGATGCAGGCACTACTTACCATAAGTATAATTCTTATTGTGATCAAGCTTATATAGTTAGTGATTTCTAACCAAAACATTATGTAATTCAAATCCAGTTCAAATGCCTTCGATATTTTTGTTATCTACGTGTTTTTAACTTGAATGCTGAGAGATTGGATAATATTACCACTTAGCAGTCTTAGCCTGAGATGAACCCAACTATGAACCCTTGGCGGCGATCATTCAACTTACATTTTTCATCTCTCTGTTTTTTTTTTTTAATCTTTTTTTGGCCCTCTTGTTTTTTGTTTGGGTCAAATGCTTGTATTGTATTAAGAGAGGCCACATGCTGTTTTATCGTCTTCTTTTTGTCAAAAGTGGAAAATAAGTAAAACACCACCTAAACTCGATCCATGGTGACAAAGTCAAGTTTAAGTTTTTGTATCGCAATTCACAAGGTTTGGATACATACAACCTGGTCATCCTTTATTCATAGTCTACATTTCTTTTTGTTCTTTCAAGGCTATATTTGCCATCTATTCTACTGCTTCGTGATTTATGCTTTCTATTGTCTTAGCTCCCACCTTGGCAGTTAGCACCTACACATAGCAGTTACCTATTGTAATATGGGTCATTCTAAGTTGTGGACCTTGTTGCCATCCTTGTCTCATGCAATGATAGTAGCCAATGTTTTCTGGTCAGATATTTTCCATGTTAAAGGTAATCAAACATTTAAAATACACGAACAATGAAAGAACTATCATCTAGCTAGCATATGCACGAGTTTTGGTCCATCTTCTCTCCAACAATCTTGAAAAGAAAAATGTCTTTTAAAATTATAAGGTGCCAATGAGCTATGAAAGCAGTATTCCTCTGTGGCCTACTATTTTGTCGTCTATTACTTATTCTTCCATTTACAAACATTTGTGCTGTTGAAGGATTTAAATATTTAAGTTACACCCTCTCTAACAAGTTAAGCTTTTAGAGTAGATGGTTGTTAACATATACTTTTTGATATGTAGTTGAAGGAGGGCTATCAACAGGGCTATATGGCACAAGATCACATGCAAATTATTGAAGAAGTTGCACTAAATAACCGTTACGAACAAATTCCTACTTGAAGATAAAATGAGCAAAAATTGACTAAGATGGTTTTTTATTTTCCTGGACTAAGATGGTTTGGCCTATTAAAAGAATAATAATAGCTCTGTGCCACAATAACATATTGTTTAACAAATTTATGGCCCTAAAAAGAATGGATTTATGAAATAGATATATGTAGTCTACCCTAAACAATTGGGACAAGGTTCTATTGAATTGAAGCAACTAAATACTTTTGGAAATAATCTTTATATATTCAATAGATTTCTGAATTGCAATGTGCTTAGTTGTTTTAGAACGTGACCAGGTTATATGAGCTTGGTTGGCAATCCTTTGTATTGACTCATGTGATAAATGAATCAATCTTGATCATATCTTGAAGGTCCTTAATTTATTGAGTTTGATCTAAACTTTGCTCAACTGGCAATAAGCATATTTGATTTTACGAAAAACATCTCAGCTGAAGATTTGACTGATCAGAGTCTTACTCGAGGGATATGCAAGCCAACTTGATCATATTTTGAGCTCATAATTTTTATTACTCGAGTTCGAACGACACACTGCTCGGCTTTACATGGCCTGTCTGTCACATCTCGTCTTTTACAACCCTATTTTTAAGCACATCTTTTCATGCTTTTATTGCATTATAATTCCTGTGAAAGGAACAAAAAATATCCAACATCTGCCTTCCTCTTCTCAATTCCTCATTCTTTAGTTTTGTAGATAGTAAACTGTATTCAATCATAGAGTTCTGGAGTTTTCTACTTCAACCCTCTTGAGGAGTTTGTTGAAATTTGCAGCTTATTGTGTTGTTGCCAAAGATTCTGTTGGGAAGCAGATTTCTATTGCATTTTTGGAACGTATGAGGGCGGACTTCAAGAAAAGATATGGTGGTGGTAAAGCAGATACAGCTGTTGCCAAAAGTCTCAATAAGGAGTTCGGGTATGTCTAACAAAAAACCTTTGAAGGATGAAATGTTGATATTTCTATTCATTTGAGTAGTGAATTTGTACAAAAGTAATGGATTTTAATAGAATGCTCTAAATCTACAGACCGATTATGAAAGAGCACATGCAGTACATAATTGACCATGCTGAAGAGATTGAGAAGCTATTAAAAGTGAAGGCCCAAGTTTCAGAGGTTAAAAGTATTATGTTGGAAAATATTGACAAGGTATGTCAAAAACATTGGAGAAAAACATGGGTGTTCTTCTAGCAATATGCTTTCAGCTTTCAGTTTCTTTTGTACATATGGTGTCTTATTTCTTCATGTTTTTGCATTCCCAAGTCCTGTTTCTTCTTGGATGCTATTTTGATGCACTAAATTTGTGTTCTAATCTCACCTTTACATCCGTACATCCTTTAAAAGAATATGTACTATTTTCCTTTGATTAGCTATTTAGAAACTTCAATCGTTTGATAATTGAATATGAGCCCCCTCTATGCAGTTAAAAGATCTCGTCTTCTTTTTTCCATAATTGTCTACATTATGGTAGAGCAACAATGAGATATAATAGTTATTTTTGTGCATTCTACATATTGCGGATGGGAGAATCTTTTGCAGGAAGATGCTCTCCTCCCCCTTCCATTTGTGTCTGTCCATGTCTGTATGATTCTACCTGAGTGATACTCCACGGCTGCCTACATGCATCTTGATTCACAATTCCACTCTATCTTGGGCACTCTTTTGTTAAATCATATATGAGAATCTTTCTCTACTTTCATCAATGAGTTATCTGCGGTCATCCCTTGACCTAGCTGCTGCTTTAATTAATTAATAAATTTTTTTTTTGGGGGGTAGGCAGCTTGAAAATTTTGTTGGGAGTGAAAAGAAGATTTTTTAAGGGTATGGCCTGATTTTTTAAGTCCAAATTCATTAGATAGATACTAGCTAGATACCCACTCTGCATGTTCAATTTGCTCTCCATTATAATGCTGCAGTAGGGTCGGAAGGGAAGTGCTACAATGTCGCTTATGCGGGATGTGATTTAGTGATTGCATTAGAATGAACTTGTATGTGTTTTGAAACTGAAAGGCAGAATGTTATGACTTGTGAGGGTTTAGTGTGTTTTACCCAGTCGGGTAAAGTATTTCTTAGATCTATTTCGATATGGGATGAGTGAGAAGGCAACATTTTTATTTTGTTTTATTTTAGGCCTCAAAACCTGCAAAAGGTACACTATATTCATCTATGAATTTTTCTTTTCAAAAGAAAAATGTGTGACCCTTGCTCCTATGGGAGAGCACTTAAATTCATGAATCTAATGCAATGTATACTTGCTACATCATCCTCAGTGCCAATGTAACTATTTGCATGAATTACATCATTCAAATCTCTATTGCGTCACAACAGGGTAATAATCTGACATTGTGCATACACTTTTCAGGCTATTGATAGGGGGGAAAACTTGACAAATCTTGCCGACAAGGCTGAAAATCTCCGAGATTCAGTATGTTGACCCCCATCTGCAACTCAAATCATAATCTGTTCTTTAAGAAATGTGCTGAACAAGTATTCTTGCTTTTTACAGGCCCAACAATTCAAGAAGGCAGGGACACAAATCCGACGGAAGATGTGGTATCAAAACATGAAAATAAAATTAGTTGTTCTTGGGATCCTTTTACTTCTGATCTTGATAATCTGGGTTTCGGTATGCCATGGTTTTAACTGCACCAACTAGCATGCTCAGTATGCAATTGGGCCTCGCTAGTTGAATCACCAGATATATTGTCCGTCGCTTGTAAGCTTCTTTGTGAGTTGATTTCTGGTAATTTCAGATCAGCTACAGAGTTACAAAATGAACATTTTCTCTTTATAATACCTTTTTCTTTTTTCTCTTTCTTTTTCTTTTCTCATCTTTTTCTCTTTCTTTTTCTTTTCCTTCTCTCTCTCTTAATTTATTTGTTTTTGTTTTTGTGTGGGGCTTGTAGTTGTATTTAGGAGCTGTAATTGGTTGTGGGAAGGTCTGTTAAAATAATACAGACATAGTTTTGAAGCAGTTTTACAACTTGGTTTGGTGCAAATTAATGTTTATTTCATCCATGTTCTGTTGTTTGTACATTTATCATCGATCTGTATAAAATCTCATGTTTGCACGTTTATAAGTGGCACGAACCTCACCATTCTGCGTCCCTAACCATTCGAAAATTCTGTCACAATCATATGATTCAGCAAAATTTGTAGTTCTCATTAAGCTTTCCAATTATATCCGGACCCTTTACAGAACATGAATTTTATTTACTTTGTGCTAGTTGCATCTTGGGTGGCAAATTACTCCACGGGTGGGAGGGTAAAAACCTCAACTCGCACCGTTACCATCCTTAACTGTATGGGAAGTCTTTTGTTAGACGGTTTTGGACGGAGGGAGATGATCTATTTTGTTAAATGGATACAGAGTTCGAGAAGGTGTCATCGGTCACCCAAACTCACTTCGTTGCCATCCCTAAGTACATCTCCGACTTAGCATGGCAGAGTTTCCCAAGGAAAGACTTAAGAGTGCAAGGAGGGACCCAAATGTGACTAGTCATAGCTCGTCAACCACACTTAATGCTCCAACTTTTCAAGTAGTGAACGTCTCTTAATTCGCACGAAACTATGGTGGGTGCCGGAAAACCATTTGTAGAAGAATAGCATCATTTTTTTGTTTTTTTGTAGTTTGGAGAGAGAATAATGTGCGATAATAAGAAAATAACAAGAATCTCAGACTCACTAAATCATAAAATAAACCTTACAAAAGTTTGTGAGCGCCAGCAATGATGTTACCTTATACTGTCCCTATACATTCAGAATCAGTAGCAACAGCAGTGTTTCTTCATGTTTTAAAATCTCACAAAGAGAGACAGTAAAATATAATATATGAACGTTCCATTTTTTTTTTTCTTTTTCTTTTTCAAGCATAAGGCAAACTAGGCTACTAGTTCTTGCCAGTTGCCACGCCGTCCTTTCAAAGAATCAGGATTCTCTCCTTTGTCAAAAGTATTATATGCACCGAGTTTTGATATATACACAAGAACTTCGTGCAATCTGTCCCGTCAAATGGTTTTTTTTTTTTTTTGGGGTAAATTCCTTTCAAATATTGTAACAATGAAGTACTACTTAGAAGAGTGTTAATATTTAACAATCTTGTTTTTCAGTGCAATTCGACAGAAAAGAAAACATTGTTAAATATTACACTGTTCTGAGTAGTACTTCATTATTACAATATTTCACCCGAATTCAATTTATAATCTATTAAGAACTGTTAAAAGTTTATATTTAATTATTAAGTGAATCTTGGATGTGATTATTCTATGAGTGCTACCTTTTCAAGTTTTAGAACCCTATACTGCTATACATATATATAGTTAATTAGGAAAGCACGGTATAAGCTAATATGAAAATTGTCTCACAAAGTTGCAGATACCCCAAGTAGTATTGGGTTCTACAAAAATCTTCCATTGGTTAAAATATTTTAGAACCAGTAGCAATGTTAAAAAAATAAAAAAAATATACCTAGCTTAAAGCCACATTAATTATGTAATTGTTTATGTGTATGTAGATGGTTATATACTTTATTATTATTTTTTAAAAAAAGATAATAATAGTTGTCTATAACGATTTAAAGACTCAAGAAGTAACCATAACTGTCATCGAAAAGTAATCATAATTGTCCACGACGATTTAAAGACTTTTTAACAAACAATTTAAACTAGATCAAATAACGTAACTCAAGACTGTTTTCTTAATTCAAATCAGAAATTTTCATGTCATAGTGAAACAACATTACCGTCTGCCCTTGTTTTTTATGTTACTCATTATATTAAATAAGAAAAATGCATTTTAATATATATATATATATATATATAATAATAATAATTTGATATGAAGTCAATTGCAAAGAGAGCCTCACTGTATGGTTCCAGTACAGTACAAGAAGGCATCAAAATCAAACTCATAACAAGACAAATGGGATCTCTCTTGCCCATCATTTATAGATAGAATAAGATGAAGAAGCTCACTCTTCTCTCCATCAACCCTTTTATGATCTCATCCATTCATTTCCCTTCTTTTGGATGAAATTAACTTATAAAACTGACTCTCATCTCATGCGTGTGTCTTCATATATATAGACACACACACACAAACATTTTTATACAGAGACAAGTCATAGTAGCCCATCCAAGGAAGGAGTGGCCAGGGCTTGGACACGCATGGATATATATATATATATATATATATATATATATACACAAGAACTCTTTAGAGTGTTCTTATGGGGTACTTTTAGATATAGCAAGCATTAGACACGTGTTAATTGATAAGCCTCTTATCTTCAGCAGTCAGTGTGCCTATGCACTTCCGCAGAATGTTAGGCTCCAATGGATATAGGAACCCAGAGACATATATCCTCAACCTTCAAATTTATATATATATATATATCACTTGTACGTAATTTGGATTTTGCATGGTCCTATAGGTAGTTTGCTGAATTAATACCTTATCAATTGTTATACACACACACACACACACACACACAAATATATGCTGTTCGGGAAAATATATTACTCTATGTCCCTATGTATCAAACAAATTAACAGGACGTTTTTAGGTTCTCATTAATTAGTTTATATTGCTGTTAGGGAAAATATATTTTATGTATATCTGTTACATTAATATTAATAGAATATTAATAAATATTGTGATTTGATATATTTTAATGTATATTTTGTTATGAAAAAGGCCGCAAAATCAAGATCACAATCAAAACATGAAAAAAAGAAAAGAAAAAGAGATTACATCTTTCACCAAAAATCCTAAACACATATATTGAGGTACAAGAGATTTTACAATGTCCACTACTGAAAAAAAAAAAAAAAAAAACTAGTTAACATTACTTGAGCTGAAACAAAATTCGGGCCACAATTTCACACAAACATCTATCAACTTCTGGAGTTATATATTCCACAAGAAGAGTAGATCACTTGTCATCACTCCCTTCACTCCCTCATCAGTTCATGTCATCATCAAAATAGCCACCTCACTTTCCCAGCAAAATGTGAGCTTTTACATGATTAAGCTATAATATGTCCTATATATGTGTATATATGATATACATGCATGCTTAACAAAACAAACCCAACTTTTCATTGCTGAAATACAGCTTTATTATGATTTCCCCAACATTTACATTCGCTTCCCTAGCCTAGTACCAAGCTTGATCACCTACATCTTCACAAACAAAAAAACCCATATATATAGAGAGAGAAACATACGTCACTAGAATCAATAAAAAACAACTGAACTAGCCAAACTAAATCAACCAAAACCAGGTAACAATCCAAATAGAAAAAGAAAGAAAAATAATTCACACACAAACACGACTTAACGGGCACCCACGGCGGACTAGTACGTACCAAATGTCACATGTCCCTAACCTCGAACATGTTACGATTTTTTACGACGATGTCATACATGTGCATGGACTTGAATCTGTTGAAGTCCTTTGGAAGAGAGATTAGATGAACTGTGGATCGTTTATGGAACTGAAGAAGGTCAGGATCGTCATAGTATCGCTCCCAACCGAGTGACGAAAGCTTCCCTTCAAGCTCTGCATATGAAGTAATGACTTCATTAGTCGGAACGTGGACTAAAACCTTGCGACGACCGCTCGAGCACTCGGCCCCGTTCTCCACAAGCCGGACTACACCATTCTTGAACACCCAAACACCAGACATGTTTTTTGAGAGAGAGAAAGCGAGTGTTGGAGTTAGCTAGTAAGCTTGGAGATGGAGTTACGAGGATGGGTGAGTTGGGGTATATATAAGGGAACATTATGTCTAGTGCTATATACACTATAGTAGTTTATGTAATTAATATAGTAACTTGGGTGTGTTTTGATCGAGGGTATGTGTGGATATTGGTATAGCTAAGGTGGGGTCATTTAGGGGATCGATGTCCAAGGATACATCCAGGGTCAGGCTGTTTGGTACACACGTACTAGTGTATACTATGGGTTTGTGGGCATAATCAGATTTCGTAGAATCCAATTTCATCTTCCAAGCTTTTAACCTCACCTATGGAATCTTTGTCCCAAGAATGTGTTGAAATGAAATCGAGTTTTTTTTTATACAAAAAGAGGTTCGTAGAAAATGACTTGCATGCATAAATCTTAATCAAAGCAGCATATATTCTTTCTACTGTAACTCTCAATCTTTCTTTCAAGGATGAGAGATCGTATTATTAAGATTAGTGACAGAAACTTAATTATAGTCGTTTTGTCGTTGAGTGTCCAGAGTAGTAATTTGGTCTTCTTGAAGCGGAGAGAGAATCTTCGGTATGGTTGAGTTCAATCTCGTCTAATCTAAAATTATCTAACTAGTGATATTCATGTTCAGTACATCGTAAAGTTAATTAGGTTGCGGAGCATAACCGCCTAATTAGTGATATTCGTCTTCAATGCATCATAAAGTTATTTAGGTAGCGAATCAAAATCACAAAGCTAATAATATTCATGTTCAACTCATCATAAAGTTAATTAAGGGATAAGATGTTGATGGTTATGAAAGATAATTTCATACCAAAGTAAAATTCTTGCTACACAACTTTATGTTTGTGCGTGTCTATATATGTAATGTGAGAAAAGTAAACGAGTTGAACGATCATGGAATTGATTTTTTGTAATAAGAAAGGAATGTATATATATAGTTAATTAGTATAGGTGCGGTGATTATTCCAATATATGTGAATGGAATGGCGAAATTCTAGAACAGTGTGATGGTTGGTGGGGACCAAAAACAAAGGGATTCTCAGTTCTTCTTCTTGTTGGAATTGTGGTTCACACTTCCCACAAATAGTGACCAATATGAGGTTTTTTATCCAGACAAGTATTTTGCCTAATTGTTTAATTATTCGTTAATCTATCTATATATTATCAATCCCGTAAAACATTCCCAAATGAATTCACTCTTGACATCACATAGGGTCATAAAAGAGTATATTACTCTGGTTCTTCTACTGCAAAGTTTGGAGACAAAAGATTTGAGACAGTCCCCACATATATCATTTCACGAGGCACCCCATTGTATAAAAGCAAGCTGCCCCCACATCATATACAAGGTGGGAGAAAGTATACATTGAATACTTAACATGTGATATCCTTTCCAATGTTTTTGTTCAAAAATTTCAAATTCTCTATTATTAAGGGAAATAAAACTTATTATCAAGGAAAAAACATACGAGTATATGCGATATTGTATACTTTGGTGGAATTTCTTTGCGGTGAGAAAATTCTATAAGACTTTGGAGGTATTCTGACACGTAATACACACTTACAATCAAAATTCTCTGTTTTTTTTTGATAAATAGAGAAAGGGGAGTTTCACAATAAATAAAAAAATTTAATTAAAAAGAATATCAGGATTCACAAAATATCTTCGAAGTATTGTAGAATTGCTCGTGGAATAAGTAAGTCATAGTGCATTTGCCTAGTGTCTTAAAAAAGTCAATATCATATGGAGCAAGCAACAGCTTTCCATTCGATAAAAGTTAATTGCAACACCCCGTTTTATCCAAACATTCGAATGGCCAAATGTATTTGTTGTAGGGCTTTAGGGCATACATTTTTTATCTTTATCAACCACCATGGTCTCAACCCTGTTAGATTATGATGCCCCATGGTCCTGTTTGACCGGGATCTGACCGACCAGACCTAGCATTTTCACGAGCCAATCTCATCATCACAAAAGATTTGATCACTTGGGACCCCAAAAAAAAATATCTGCAGCTTCTTCCATCTTCATCTCTATTTCATCTTGGACCACTTTAACCGGTAGCTTTCAAGTTTCAATTTCACCAACTTGTATTGGAATTCTTTGAAAAATGAGGGTTGGATCACATTTTCACAAAGAAAAGGTTTTTGACTTTGCTTTGCATTATTTGATTTTCATGCATCGTCATTGTCATCATCATCTTTGTCGTTTTTTCAAATGAATGGTCACTCAATTCCTTAATTATCGTTTTTTTTTAAATGAATGAGTTGATCAATTTCTCTATTTTCATACTTGTGAAACACACAAATATATATTGGTATATAGAAATGATAATTCATCTGATATGGTAGTCCAAATGAACTAACTAGCCAAATTTAAATAAAATTTTCATCTATTTTAAGTTTTAGCTTTAATATTACTAATTGGTTAAATATTTATGTTCTGTTGTAACAATTGCAATGAAATCAAGATTTTATTGTCACGTGAAACTCTAAAATTCGGGACAAAACCATTGTGATCACAAACCAATCAAGGAAATAAAAAAAAGTTATTCTTTCCTTAGAATTGGTTCTAAAGGCTATTTCAAATATTGGTCAATTACGGAACGAATAATTGAATTTACGTTTAAGGATGACGAAGATGCTGAGGCGTCATTACCCAACATTCCCGCCACATACTATTTGGCCACGTCAGATATCCAATATTACACTGTGTGGTTCCACGTCGCGCCACATCAGCACATCTTTATTCTCTTCATGCTTCAATGTTAACATAAAGTCAGTTATTCATGGAACAATTTTGAGCCCCCACCCGACAAGCTTTATTTTAACCCTAGATCAAGTTGAGAATTACAGAACAATAGGCTCCACAAAAAAAAAATGGAAACTCTCTCACCCATCAACATTTGATACAGGCCCATATGATCACACCCTTGAAAGAGCCAAAATCTAATTCCTACATTTAATCAAACAACACACTTTGTAGTGCACATACCTTTCCATACTGACCTCATCTTTTTGTAAGAAAAGCAGTTGATCCATCCTAATCACTAAAGGGAAATGTTGGTGCCCTGCTAGATAGTTCATGATCGGAATTTCATAAAGAATGTGTCGAGAATTGTCTCTGTTGAAAAAATATTTATCCATATACATATATTATACATGTGAATAATGTTATTTGTGTAGAAGGACCACCGAAATTGTTGACGGAAGCCTTTTTATGCGTTGGATGTATCAAGGAAGCTACTAGTAGAATGTGATTTTGTATATATACGTATTGACAAGTGATGCGTTAGTCGACTGAAATTGTTATGCATAAGATGATTTGAGGTGGGACTCATTGACTAAGCCTTCTCCATGCGTTGGATGTATTGGGATAGCTCGTAAAGAGTACTGCTAGTAGAATGTGATTTTGTATATATAGGTATTGACAAGTGATATGTTAGCTGACTGAAATTGTTATGCATTAGATAATTTGAGGTGAGAGTCAATGCATTAGATAATTTGAGGTGAGACTCATTGACTCGAGCCTTTTCATGCATTGGATATATTGGGGTAGCTCGTAAAGAAAACTACTAGTAGAATGTGATTTTGTATATATATACTGACAAGTGATACGTAAGCCGACTGAAATTGTTATGTATTAGATGTACTGATGTAGGGAACACAATTTCAGACGGTTAACAAATCATTTTTTTTCTTCTTTTTTTGAAAGGTGGTTAACGCATCACTCGTGAATGCGTGTATATACCACATTCTACTACTAGGGACGGACCCATGTGATGCCCCAGTGGGGGTACTTAAAATTCTAGTTTTTACTTAAAAATTCTTGTTAAGCCCTCATTGATTTTTTTTTTTTTTTTTTTCCCCTTTCTCACTCACACCCTCATTATTGTTTAAAATCGGCCCCCCCTAAAACAAATTTCTGAGTCCGTCACTGTCTACTAGTAATATTTTCTAAGAATTACTAACAACAATTTCAGTCGGCTAATGTATCACTTCTCAATGCGTACATGCAAAATCACATTCTACTAGTAGTGTTTTATACAAACTACAAAGTTGTTAAGTACAAATGTATTGTATATACGTGTGTGTGTGTGTGTGTGTACGTGTGTGTGTGTGTGTAATGAAGCATCATTAAAGTTAAAGAATGGGAATAGTTTGCATTAGATGGCTTAATCTGGACATCATTCGTTTGTTAGTAAGCAAAATGGAGGTCTTGATCCTTCCTTAATACACAAATGGAAAGCAACTAGAAATCACCAATAGTTGTATCGTTTTTTTCCATGGAGTATTTGTTTATAGATGGAATGGAATTTCTCTAACAAAGTAGTAATCTTTGGAACAATAACCATCTTAATCGTAGAATGGGCATCTTTATTTTAAATCACAGATAATTATGTTTTTATTCTCATTAATGCAACTTAAATATATGGTATAAACCTCATTGGGTATGCTAAAAGTTGAATTTTTGGCAAAAGCATTTGTTTTAGGTACCAATTGGAATTTTTCTTACAAAGAGAAAGTGAGATCGCATGTTTGGCTATAAAAGGGAATAAGAGATGATATGGTTATCTATTATTAGGTTTATGCCCAACTTTGATATAAAAATGATGGAATTAGACCAATTACATAGATTATGAGAATAAAGTCCCTAAACATTTGGAATGAAGGATCAATTCCTTCGAGAAAACAAATTAGCAGAATTTTAGGTGATTGTATTCCATAATCCATTGATAATGATAGGTTCATTGTGTCCTAATCAAACTAATTAAGAATAAGATTAAAATTCCACAAAGCTTATATAATGCAACGATTATATGCTTTTCTATATTAATAAATGTCACATCGCTTTTGGGGCATCATAAGTTTATTAAAGATAGTTATGCGTGTCCATTAGAAATGTAAAGGTTCTTGATTAAAAATGAAAAGTGATAACGTAAAATCGCTAAAATTATAACCAATATATATATATATATATCTAGGTTATTGATTAAAATTGAAAAGTGATTAGGTAAACCCACTAAAATTACAAAAAAACCCATCTAGGGTCACTTTTATG